AATCCTTCGCCAACGAGAGCGCGTCTCTCTCTTTCTCTCTCGCTCGGCATTCTTCTGCCCGCTAACAGGATAGAGGGTAAACGTGTCCCTGAAGGCAATCGGCATATTTGCCTCGCAACTTTGTAATACGCCAGGCAAATGGTAATTCTATTCGCATTACGATAATACGAAGGACGCGAGCGGAAACGGGTCACGTGACACATTTCTGCGAGAAAGAAAAACAGATTTATCCCTGGCACGTTCTTGAACAACGAGAGAAAATATACTGAATTGAAATGGCACCTAAACTTAATCCTTTTGCGATCCTAACGTTAATCTCGAGAAGTGTAAACAATTTTTTTTTTCTCGATTTCGTTAAACCGACAATTTTACGCTCCTCGTAAAAAGATGAAAGAAAATATAACAATGGGAAAAAAATTTCTGCAAATATTATATATTATATATTCCTCTTTAACAAGAGGGATAAACTTCGTTTCCCACACGAGCGAACGAGAGCGAGCAAATCGACGTTCACATGTATACATACATGCAGAGTCGGAGCAACGCGACACGACGAGACGGGAAGGGGTGAGACGGTGAACGTGAGACGCGATTGTGTGGGCAAGCGGAACGTGTCCTTGACTGCAGGAGTCCGCTATGTCCTACACACCCACCTACCGCATGCCGAGGAGGAGGAACGCACCGCTCGCGCCCGCGGGATTCGCATGCGGCTCCCCGGGGGAAGGGGGAGGGGAGGGGGAAGCGCTGGAACGGGGTGCGAGGGAATCCGACCCTCCGGCGATCTTTAACGAGGCGAGCATCAAGAAGGAAACTGCGCGCCTGTGCCTCGGCAGTGACCTTCTGATCCCGTTTCTTTCCCTCGAGAGAGTCCTCTCTTGTACCGCAGCGTTTTCACATCCTCGCGCCCCACGGGACTCGGTCCGCACCGTACGATTGCGTATTTGCCCCGCGAATATTTTTCCCCCCCTGCACCCCTCTTTCCCTTCATTCTCTTTCTTTCTTCTTGTGAAATTTGTGACTTTTAAGCTGCGAGCAATTGCAAACGAGAGACACTTCTTTTCTACAACTTCTTTTAACTTTAAATAATTAATTAAGTGAAAATAATTAATTAAATCGATCTTTAATACATTTAATTTTAAGTAGTATTCTAGTATCATCTTGGCATCTAATTCATAATTATCGAGATATATATATATATATATATATATATATATATTATAAATATACTTAAGACACGTATATTTATCTCAATAAATTTTGGAACTTATTTAATAGTTCCGGAAAAAAAATGCAATAATACATTCTTCACACAAATCTGTATTAACGAGCTTACGAATATTTCAATATCTGTTGTAAACTTTGCCAATAATTACATCAACTTATTCGTCTCGTTTCTCGTTACTTCGTTTTTGCTTGCTGATGAAATTGTTCGCTTCTTTTTCTTCAAATTACATATATTAAGTTGTTTATATGTACTTTTTATTGAGTTGTTTGAAGAATTAAAAACGAAAGATTGAATTTGATAAAATACTTGTTTTACAAAGTCATTTGATTAACATTAAACTCTACTCAACTCATTCAATTAGATATTATAAACGATTTCTTCGTCGGTTAACCGGAAGGAAGTACAATCGCGTGCACGGAACTCTTTGCCCCTTGTCGTTCAACCTGGTACATGAATAATGTACATAATGTCGCTCTCCGAGACAGGATTAACATATCGCGAATGATGGTTGTGGCTTACGCGCGTTCCACGCTCCGACATTTCTACTCGTAAATTTGCGCGAGAGACATTTTATTTCCCGGCCGTAAGAATAATGCGAATATACACGTATATTTTGCGCGAGGATGTGCAACGTAATCGTGTGAAGAATATGACACAATTTTCATAGTAAGATACGCGCTTTTAAATATGGATGAGGTGATTATTTCATCGGGCTTGCGGTTCACGCATGGCACACTTGTGAGTCACGACGAGCGTTCGAATTCTTCCCATATCGAAAATGTCGATATGAAGTATATCATTTCTCATCTACACCACGCTATTATATTCCTCGAGTCAAATCAAGAATTGTCAGTATCGTCGTCATCGTCATTATAAATAAAAAAAGTTATTAAGCTATACAAGCTTTGATCCTTCGCGATTCTTATCTAAAATGAATACACGAACACTTCGATGTATTAGAAAGAATTTTTCAAGATAATTTTAGAGACATTTGTTTTTTTCAAGATTTTTATAACGAACAATAGAGCGAGATTCGATATATTATATTATCAAAATATCCTAGTTCAATTGTTGGAGATTTCTTATGAGATTTTTTCGATTTTACTATTATAAGTAATGCTTACAATTAATACAACTTCCGTGTGGCAATGCAACACGTTCGGCCATCGGTAAAATGAAAAAGGAGGACTTGACATCAGAAATAGACGGATGAAGAAAAGATTAGAGAGGAGAAAAAGGGGAACGGAAGAGAGAAGGCCACTGTCACTGCCGCGGCTACGGTGAGGTAATATCAGATTCCATGCCGTGAAACGCACCGGCGCCATTTTGTGCGATGCACGGTTTTTCATCGTTACCGAAGGCTTTTCTCCAGCATTGTTTTTCACTGAATGAATTTCATTAATCGCGGCTCGTCATGACGACAGGCGCCGTCTTTTTAAAAACTGCTATTAAATTATTTACAAAAACTCTACTTAATGTAACGATTTGCATATATTATTCGAAAAATGTTTCGCATACATTATTTATACATTTATAATCTATCAAAATATAAAAACGATGTGTTTAAAGAAAGAATGATCGCGTTTGCTTTGTAAAATGCATGCAGAAAAATTGTGTGATTGACGGTCAAGATAACTCGGGTCAAGATAAAGGTCAAGTATAAATTATAACGTAGAGATCAATGCATTTTCTCGCGTGCCTCAATTGATATCGATGATAAAAATGATTACAGATAAAGGGTAAGAACCGATGATGTAATGGGATTACATAGATACAGATTACGTAATTGAATGTTTTTCTTCGTGATAAGAAAAGGAGTAAATAAATATAAGTCTAGATTTTTTCAATTGTCAAATTTTGTGCGAAAATTACGGTATAAAAGATTGCCGTAAAAGATTTCGCGGAGGAAAGGACATTTCATTTACTTATTGGAGAACATGAATATCATGCTTGCGAATCCGGAATTGAATAGCGAGGAGAGGGGAAGGAAACGCCGCGGTAAACGTTGTTTACCTACGCGAGGGCGATGACATCTAGCCGAAATGAGGTTCCACGTCAGTCGGTAGCGCACTTGTTCGCTTCGGCGAGCTTCGTAGCCTTCGCTAGCCTCGGCTGGCATTCGTCCCGTGGTAGCGAGGATAAAGACGAGTCCGCGAGAGAAAAAGAACGAAGAGAGAGAGAGAGAGCGAGAGAGAGAGAGAGAGAGAGAGAGAAAGAGAGAGAGAGAAAGAGGGGACGCGAGAAGAGACTGCAGGAGACGAGGAAAGGGGCGGGAGGGGGGAGGGGGGGCACGAGCCTCGCAGGACATTCACCTTTCTCGGGCTCCGCGAGAGACTCGAGTCGCCATTACACAATCGCCGCCGAGGCTGCGGCTCGCTCGTTCCTCGGCCATGGCCGCCATCTTGGTACCGGTCTCGCGGTGCGCCGGCTATGGTTCAAGATCTTCATGGTGAAGGTCTTGCGCGTACCACTGCACGCTCGCGCGCGCCGAGAAATCCGCGCGATATCTCTTTCGTTGGTAGATTCGTACAAAGCAATCGCCAAACGCACACATATACACGTGCGATACAAAGTAACGCAATGTCGCGAATTTAATTTCAGTATGCCGTTGAATTCGTCGAATATATATACAATATCGAATGTATGTATATATGTATATATACAAGACTAAGGATTAAAAAGATAATTAATAATGATATCAGAATTCAAGTCATTTCTGAGTGATCTGATTGAAAATTTGAACCTATGATAAATGATGAGTTTTGATTATATAAACTATATTCAAATCATTTAATATATTATTTATTAAATTAATTATCTAATTAATTAATTATCTAATATTTAAATATTAAAAATGTAATAATTAAATAGGATACCTTTTGTACAAAATCGTACGACTCGAGCAGCATAATATAATTATTCAAATATTATTATATGTAATACAATTTGTAAGATGTTTGTGTGTGTGTGTCTAATCTTTGTGTGTTAGACAAATTTTTACTTTTGGCATCTGTAATATCGTGGATGCATAAAAACATTAATTGAGGTACACTTGATTACGCTACGTGCGAAGAAATCGAAGGCGTAATAGGAGATTCAAATGCTTGGGTAGACGAGAGGCCAGGAGTACGTAAGACGTTTAGTCGGCCCACGTAGGCGCGTGTATGTAGGCCCAGCATTACGAACCACGCGGTGAAATCACGTGATGGCATTACGAAACGAAAACCTGCCGAGCACTAAAATTCAATGTCGAAGTCGACGAACTTTCATTCGAAATAAGAGCGAGGTCACGAAAGAGAATGCGCCATCGTATAAAAGATGTAATAGAACGATTGAGAAACTACAACAAATTTATCTGGAAACTATAAGTTGTGCTTGTTTTAAATTTAAAAGAATTTGAAATTCCCATGACATATATATACAATTAAAAAATATTCGTCGTTCGATATCCGAAAGATTACATGGGTAGCATAATAATGTAAATGTTATAAATCTATAGAAGAGAATAAAATTAATCTCAATTGCTATAAATTATTGAAAAATGTAAAATATTTGTAATTATATCGCGTGGAAAAAATATCGACCACGGGAGCCAGCGTTATATATCGGTTGCGTTATAAAATTGGAGCTAATCAATGGTCGCTTCTTTTTGCTTCCAACCTGCGGCTTCGCGACAAGCTGAAATTGGTTTTTGACGAGCCACCGAGCATCGCAACTTTGCTCTTGTTAGCCGCTATGTTGCCAGTTCAGCAAATTATGAAATTCTTTCGCGTACCTGTTGGCTGGTCTGGATGCTCACCGCGCGAAGAAGCGATTCGCGTCGAATAACTACGCATGTCGATCTTGTAGCACGGTGCCAAAATGGAGAAAAAATCCATCGAATCGATTTTCTTGTTCCCAGTTTATTTCGCATACTTCTTTCTTATTGTCTGGCAAATATCTCAATCTTCTCGATTCTTTTCTATATTAAACTGAAACAAAAAATTCATGTACATTATAAGTCTCTAGAAAGCTTTCGATCGAGCAAGTATTTCTCGATACAATTTCTTTATAAAATATACCGAATCCGACAAATAATTACAAATAATCTGTATTTCGACATGTGCTTTTATCATGGAATATTGGCGCAATATCGTATGACACGAAAGAGAAATAAATTAAAACTTGATAAAAATATATAAAAATTAATAATTTAAAACTTTCACACGATCCAAATCTGCACATTTTCGTTAATTAATGATAGAGAAAACTGTTTTAACCTCGCGAATAGCCTACGGTGACTGTTTGGAATTTCAGCCATAAATTGTTGGGATTACGTGCGTGTCGCTCACATGCGCGTCTTGGATCTTAAGGCGATTCGTGGGACGCGGACTCGGCTCAATGTACGTGAACGTCCGTGCGTAAGTAGGCCGGTCGGTTTGGTTCCTTATCCCGTTACCACGGAAGAGACACGTGTAATAACAAGCATTACGCATCCTGATGTATGCGTTTTCAATCTTCATTTATATTTTTTTTTTCTTTCTCTATTCGCAAGTCGAGATTAATATGAATTATTCGTACGAGGGTTACGATAAAAAAAAACCATGTAAAATTAAACTCTTGATACTTTTTTTCGATAATCTCAAGTGTAAAGTTGTAATATTTTTCTATTTAATATTTTCAATACTTGGCGTCAATATCTACATTCATTATAATAATGCTACTATTTCTGGATTATCTATTAATAATTAACTGCTATGAAATTGAATGTTTATGATGAATAGGAAATGGATACAAAATGCTAAAAAAACAGGTAATTGCGTATGGAAATTTTCAATCTTGTTTCGTAATGTACGAAAAGGAGGAAAAGTGGACTCGACATTCTCAATGTCGAATATAGATAAAACGAGATTTATTTGTAATGCAAATGAAAATATTGACGATCTGGTTTCTTGGCGTGTTTCAGCAATCACGTAGAGAGAATACGCACGTATATACATATACACATGTATATACACGTATAAAAATCTTCTAAAAAATCGACTCGTAGCTTTAAAAAGGTATTTGAGAGTGAAAATCCACTTTTCCATGCGTTCCTTCTTCTCGCGAGGAATGATTCTTCGACGACCGCATTAATTTCTCGCTTCCGCGGACAGACGACGGTTCGAAAAGAGAAAGAGCTTGCCGGCGTGTTACAGTGTTCAGGTGTAATAGTCGGTTGAGTAAGAAGAAAGCGGCCTTGCGCTACTTTCCATCGTTAGATAATATCGGTAATACAATTTTCACCGAGTCTGCAGCTTATCGTACCCTGATGATGCGTGAAGAGGCGCAAACAAATGGAATCGAATAATAAACCGTTCATTATATATATATATATATATATATATATATATATATATATATGTAACATGTAAAAATAAAATGGAAAGCGCGTATTTAAATGAAATTTCAATGAGAAGAACAGTCGAGTTGTAAATTTTTATAAATAGCGATTTTTTTTTACGAATTGCGTTCCTCTTTCGAGTACACCACTAATTTATCTCCTTTCAAAAACCCATCCAAGCGTGATCGAAATTTATTTGCGATCCGCTGGGAAAAGATTCGGTGAGATCGAGATTCACTTGGGTTCAGTGGGTCAAGGCTGTGGGTGAGAGTTCGAGAGTAATCCGTCTCTTTCCGTCTCGCGTTCTTGGGTCGCTCCTACGACAGAGAGGCGATACGACGGAGAAGGATTGAAAAAGGAATTACGACAGAAGGGAGGGACGCGAGGTATTTATTCCACAGCCGTAACACTTTTACGGATCATGTTGCCGCGTTGCTTAACTCATTGCGCAATCAGAGTTAGCTAATCACCAAATGTTATGACCCAGGCACCGTTAGACGGATAGAACAAGCATGCCGGGCGCGCAATGATGTATGCGTGGAGTATTTGCATGACAAACCAGTGGTTATTATATATGCAGAGATCCTTACGAGCTTTCAGTATTGTCATGCATTATGTCTTGGACGAGGCTACTTCTTTCTAGAACGTCAGTTTCCGATTTTTTCTTCATCTTTCGATGCATAAAAAAGGGCAATTATAAGATCGTAATAGACGAACATAATCATATCGATAAAAATAACCGGTGTTTCAATAAATAAATCATAAGCAAGGAAAATCTTTCGTGGATACTTAAATCTGCTCTTCGTCTTATTAAAATAATCGAGATCAAATGCGTTATCCTTATTTCCTTTACATTATATTAAAATCTGGATATGCTCAAGTAAGTACATCATGAAATGGGAAAACATAAATACTACGTTATATTTAAAACATGATTAAACAGAATAAACAGATTCAAATGAAATTTTTTCTTTGTATTAATATGCACCGATTGAAAAGTTTATTTCTGAATCGTTTTAATATAATTAAACAAGATTGAAAAAAAAGTTTCAATATAAAATTTTGCACCACATCTTCATTTTTTTTTTTTGAAGATATAAATTGAAGGAGTGGAAATAAATCATTAAATTTATGATAAAATAATAATCAATGAATGTATAAATTTTATCGTCGGTGCAATTATTCGCCTCGAGCTGGTTGCACTTGTTTGTTCGGTGCCGGCGAATCGAGTCAGTAGGGTCATTCTAACGGAACGTATCGTGTCGCACTGCGCGTTACGCATACGGTAAGGTAATCCCCTGGATCGTCAGATGCGTTCAACCTTCCCAAGGACATGATGAGCGAAAGTGCCCACCGTTTAGCGAGGGACCTCGATTGGCCCTCAGGAAAACCATTGAGAAACATATTATTAACGACGACCACTGACGGATCCTGGGGGAGGGGGGAGGGGGAGGTTAGAGTTGAAACCCTTGCTTGCAAATTAAGAGAAATTAATTTCGCTGAATCCGTTTAAAATATATACGTGAGGAAAAATAAAGCTAAGCAAAGATGATCTCGCGATTTCTCGATAAAGTTGGATCTAGATTATCGAATCCATGGAAATCGTATCATTATAAGGTAGAGTATAAATGCGACTTTGGATACATCCCGCTTAAACATTGTTCTCCTTGGAACAATTATATAATAATATAGTAAATGACATGGAACTCTTGCGATTTATTTCGCATTCGCTTGTAGTTCTTGCATCTTAATTAACGTTTAATCGGCTTTCGATTGGCATATTAATTCTGTAAACGTAGCTCTTTCGTGTCTTGCGCGTAAATTAATGAGATACGTCGTAATATCCGCCGATGAACACAATGCACTCGATACATTAATTCGATAAAGTCGCCGAAGGTGGAGTCAACGAGCACGCTTCGAGTACAGCGGCGCGAATGTAAGCGAACATAACTGTTTTATTAAACCGTAAGCCGCGTCTTCGCGTTCAACGGCTACTTATGTAATCGAAAACACGGAGAGTGAAAATCGAGCGCGATCCTACTTTCGTCGGCGCGAGAAGATGCGCCTCCCGGCGCTTTTGCCGGAGCTTGTGTATCACCCGGCTAACGGGCAACCTTCCATCGAGTCGTATAAGTCCGACTTCTCGCTTATGAGGTCGTCAAGCCGCGTATTTGGTATTCGTTCTAACGTAACGAGAGATCTAAAGCGGGAGAGAGTTCGACGGCGATTTTCCGCCGAGAAAGATGATGAAGATGACCGGAAATCGTAAGTGCCATATGATTCGACTACTAAATGTTTCATTGACGTTTCGATAGAATTCTCTTATACAAATATTTTTTTAAGTATAATTGACGAGGCATTTCTGGAAAAGTCAAGGACAGTCATTGTGTCGGACGAAGTGGACGCGCCTAAGGGTCAAGGTGACAGCGATGTCTGTTTTATCTCACGATCCATCTATCGATTTCGCGATCGGAGCTCGAGCTGTCGCCATTCGCTATTTGCGCACGTGTCAAGGGCGCGTCGTACATTTGAATTGGATTGTTATATCGGCATCGCGATCTAGCGTGTCCCCGTTAGCCGTTTCTTTAACAAGGTCACATCGCAAAGGTTCAACGCACGAACGAGCTGCGACGGAGATTATTCCGCGTAGCGCGTTTCTACGATCGTTATCCGTCAACCGAACTAACGTAAAATTCCATTCGTAACGTACAATTCCCTCGTTTGCGCGATCTTTACTATATATCTAACAATTTGTCATCATCACGGACATCTAAAACTGTTCGCGTGAGAATAATTCTATATTTAATCCGATAAAAAATTCGTAAGTGTAAAAATGCACCCCCATAATAAATGTCAAATAATGTAGCAAATTATTGCAGCATGCATAAAAGCGTCAATAAAGTTAATCATTTTTTAAAATATTTATCTCTTATAAACGCTCAATTTTACACCCATTTCTTTAGGATATATTTATTAAAATTTATATTGATTAAAATTTGTACGAATTAATAATTTCCGAAATTGTAAAAAATTGTTTCGACGAGACATAATTTATTTCTCGATCTGGTATCGGTTAACAAAATCAAAATGCGATCGGTACTAATCAATTTTTGACAAACTTAATAATTTTCCCGCGTGTTTGCCTGTAACCGCATTTGTAACATTCACTCATCCAGGTATTCACTTTCTTACTTTCGATTATCATGACGAAGTTGGAGATACGATGTTAAAACGGCGTGGATAACGTTAGCGTGAACGGTACCCGTGAACTGTTATCCTTGCGGAGAGAAGCAGACGAGGGGACCCACTGGCCCAGCGATCAAGTCGGCACTCAGTTCGTTTAACAATGTCGTTCGTCGACAGTCTCGAAATGAACATTCGATCTAATAACTACATATTACATTTGTTCTTTTGGTGAAATTATTCAGTGCGAATCATCACGCGCTTCAATCAATTCGTATCTTTACAAGTATCTTTGAATATATATCTTTAGTGCTGCACAAACTCTAAGATATCAAAGAGAAATTTTTTAAAATTAAATTTGGCATATAAGATAATTGTAAAAAATAATTGCGAAATTTTTAATTAAATTAAAAATTTCTATCCACTGCTAATTTTATTAATCATACTAACGCAATTAAATTAAATTATGTCGTGAGATTAATATCTTAATTTAATTTCCAGAAATATAGATTGACTCATGTAAGTTTTAACGAATCTATCTCTGAGCAGATTATCTTATTAAGCTGTATGTGTGATAATAGAGTCTTTGCTGGTATGTCTTATGAATACCATCTCTGTTGACGCAATATCAGTTTCTAAGATGTATTGTGTTGTGAAAAAAAAATCACTTTATTGGTTTATAATTTTCCCTTCCAAGGTTACAAGACAATGTTTACAAGACAATTTTTTTAAACGTCGTTGAGAAAACGTGTTGAGAAAGTACAAATGATTGATAGTGAACGCTTGCTGTCGGCATTTATCCCATAGTTACTGTAATAGCCATTATTGTATTTTAGAATGAAAGACTTGTTTATTACTTTTTAGGTTTACGGGCAATATAAATTCTACAATTCTAAAAATTTGAGAAAAACCATTAAAACATCATAGTAGATAATATTGTAAATCGCAGTAAAAATCATTTGCTGCCTTCAATGCCAAATTATTCCGCAAATGATGGCAAAATATCTAACCACGTGGAATTTGTATCTTGCATTCTCGTATGAATAATTAACTATGCGCAAAATATATGAATAGAAACGACCTAAATACATTCGTCTGAAAAACATTTCATTCTTACGCTTTATTCCTGCACAATGTGAAATAATTATAAAAATAAAAAACCGATGTAAAAATATATATCAAAGTATCTTAAGTAGAAAGAATTTTAATTTTTATAGAATTGTTTCCTATCGATATTGCATTATATATGAATTTTATAGATATTAAGGACAGGAATTTGATCGATAAAGAGTTCTCGAAGCCGAGTCCGAGTCAATCGAGAAACCAGACGAAGAATCTGAACATCCTCCTCGAATGAGCGAAATTCCTCGAATAAGATGAAATACGGCGAATAACTGAAGATTAAAGAGTGCAAAACGCAGATTCTTCGTGGCTGGTGCACTTTTTTACGGATGCGACGGAGGAAGGTGGTACCAGACTCCATCGGCCATATTGGTTCAGCGACGAGGGTCGTCCGGCACGGGGAAGTCCGCGGTAGAATGAATGCGGGCTTGACCGAGAGGTATAGAAAGAAGAGAGGAGAGAAGGAGAGAGAACGCGTCGTGTAAGAGAAGAGAAATGCGGCGGTAAAAGAGGGAAGGGAAGAGAAAGAGGATGGGGAATAGTAACGCGCAGTGCCCGGACAACGCTCCCGCTGGCGTTGGGGCCAACTAACGGTCCAAACCACCACCACCACCACCATCATCACCATCACCACCACCACCATCACCACCACTACTACCATCAACACTGCCAATCTTCGCAAGCAACGCGAACTTCGCTTCGATAGTCCTCATCCTTCTCCTCCTCTTTGCGTTTCTTCGCGCATCGTTTTTCCTCCCTTCCTCTCGCCATCCCTTCGTCATCATCGTCGTCATCAGCGCGGACCTCTTTCTCGCGTGCGTTGCGCGTAAATCCTTTTAAACTATAAATTCCCCGACCGGTCTTTTTACATTTCCTTTTACTACATTTCCTCTCACGACGGATTCCGCGAACGCAGGTAACGTAGCGAAGAGACAACTCAGGCGTGAACGCATGGAAGTATCCGACATGGAGAAATTTTTGCGCGCGTTCAAGGATCCCTACGACGATATCGCTTATCGTATCCGGTACTTCTTAATAGTTCTTTGTCGCTCTTGAGGAGAATAGAATAAGCAGTCCCGTGTAAGGCGTTTAGCTCGTGAATACGAAACTGAAGTCTATTCTACAAGATGCGCCTTATTGAAGCAACTTAACGAGAATGCGTTGCACACTTGACGCTTAAGCGCTCGTGCGCATTTTTCCAATATTAAACGCAGCGTCATACGGTTGCTATTTTTAGATACCAACACGAGACACGCCATCCTCGTGGCTACAAAAAACGGAGAAACTCGGATATGACCGTTTGAGCAAGAGGAGCGGAGAAGAATGAGAGAATCTCATATCCGCGCGTGAATAAAGAACTCCTCCCTCGCACCATGATCAAAGATTCGAGAAACTCTCAAATTACAAGATGTTCACGTTAGACGTAACCAGCAGTTTTTATGTCGATCTTAGAGCATTGCACGTGAGCTCTTCCTCAAATCCACTATTGTTGAAGGGGACAAATTTTTTAAATTTTCAAGATCAAATATAATTAAGAATACTTAAAAATTCTTATTAAATAAACATCGATTCCCTACACTTGCAAGAAAATCCTTTAAATATAAAATTGTACGCAACAATAAACAATAAATTTTCAAAAAATAAGATAAACTTTTAGACAAATTTACAACAGGAATTCTCAGCAAAGAGAGAGAATACCAAAAAGTGGGAGGAGATAAATGTTTTGTTCAAAAGTAGTAGTCGAGGAAAGGTAAGGTCAGCGTTGGATAGACTTTTTCGCATCCTATTATTACTTTCCATAGACAAGGTCATCGTATGTAAATGTCTAATATAATGAAATAGAGCAGTCCGACATAGCCGTAAATTACGATTCGGCCTTTAACACAATCCGAATGAGATTATTTGCGGAAAAGTGCCAAGGATTTTCTTTAGACGCGTAGACCTTTTCATCGAATATTTCAATTTTCTTAATCATTACACAAATGATATAGTTATCAAGATCAATTATCGTGTGTGTAACCTAATTTGAAACAATATATATCTTACTTATTACATACATTCCACATAATTAAAAAATTATTTATTTTTTACTTAGAGCTTACTTGTTCCATGGAAATTCTGAAAGATTGAATTTTTAAATATATAAATAAATTTTTTAATATAAATTTTTTATATTTCTATTTTCTTTTTACACATTTTAATATATTCTCCTACAAAGCTCTTATAATATTTCCAATATCTTTCATGGGACGAATAAACTCTAAAAATAGGAAATTAATTTTTTTAATTATATAGAATAAATAATATACATATAAAAACTAATACATATAAATATATATATATAAATAGATTGAATAAAAAATAGCAAAAAAGAAGTTACGGGTAAAAATGGGTAAATATGTAGAAAATTGACCACCGCACGTGTCAAATAACCAGCAGCTGTTGCGTATTCATTGCATATTTTAAACCGATCGAAAATAAAAAAAATTTCAGGGAAAAGCGCGGCTATAGAGAAAAAAAAAAGAGAACGAGACAAGAACCAGAATTTTCAGCGGGATCACCGAGCATTCTCGAGATGCGTCGCGAATAATAAACTATGCACGCACGGTCACGAATAATAAGCCGCGTGCGTGCATCGGGATGCGCGCCGATCGTATTGCATTACGTATTCTACCGACGTTCCTTCCGGAAAAAAGATGGATAAAAAAACTCGAACGTCCATCTTCTCGGTCAGCAAGACCTCCTGACCTCTTTTGTAATCTTGTCCTTTTAAAAACCTCGAGCATTTTCTAAAAATGCGAGAATGGAACGGCCAGGCTTCTAATGAACTTGGGCAGCCAGAAAAAGGAAACGATCATGCGTAAAAACCTTAAGTCGAGAATGTAAAATATTTTCACGCACCGGGCTCCAACGAGGCTTTTTTACGAAGAAAGGAAATGAAATTTGAAGATTGAAAAATTTGCATTTTTTTTTCGCTTAACTTTTCGTAATTTTAAAAATAAAAATATGCAACAGCCTAAGAAAAGAATACCGATCTCTTGGTACTTTGCTCCTACTCCACTTGATATTTTATATAATTTCTTCAATTATCATCTCAATAATTTCCTTTAATTCTTTTTACATGAAACATTTTTAAAGCTTTCTCGAGGCTAAAGCTTTATACGAAAACATTTCAACACTAATATTTTCATACACGCGAAATTAAACTAACCTAAAAAGGCAATTTTTGCAATGTTGACCTACAAATCTCATATAAACAATTTATTTATATAAAATTATTACGACTCCAGGTATTACTGAGGGATAAAACTCTTCTTACCTCGAATTGACAGGAATATTCTCCTCCTCGATTCAAAGAAAGGACAGCTTCGATTCCCTGTAGCCATCGTTACACTGCATAAAACACACTCGTTATCGCGCGCGAATACACGACTGATTCAAAATGCAAAACTCTACGAATTAGGATGCTCTCTAGATAGGTCGCGCATCGAATCCTTTATCACGCGGCTCTGTAATCAGTCGTAACACACGGTACCGCTAGATGTCGATTATCGATGTATCGATTGATACACGCATGGATGTGTGCGTGCGTGCGTGTGCGTGTATGTTGCGTTTCGGCGCTCGCTTCGTCGCGATTCGCACAGTGTGCCGGATTCGATTCCTCGTGTTATTATTCCGCATGTCCGACACGTCCGAGTTCGACGGGGAGGACGAGGACGTCGCGTCCTGGTCCTCGAAGCGAACGAACGATGACGATCGCGACGGCTCGTCCGCGTCGCGTGCAGTGCGCGAATTCGGCGACCTCGTCGTCGACAATTACGGTTGGATCCAGTGCCGATCCAAGAGCTATCCCGATCAGGTGTACTTTCATAACACGCACAGCAACTGCAACACTTGGTACAGGCCCATCTCGCGCTACATCGACATCCCATTCATCTCCGTCAAGAAGGTGGGCTCTGGTTAATTCCTGAAAAAATAAATATCAAAATTAATTCCGGAAAAAAATATAAACATTAATCCCGGAAAAAATAAATATCAAAATTAATTCCGGAAAAAATGAATATAAAAATAGATCTTTGTTTTTTTTCCACTTTCCGTAGTCTAGAAGAGTCGATATCGAATACCTTATTTGTGAAAAATAAAAACGAAGAGTGTACATGTACATCTTTTTATCGAGACTCATCAATCTCTTTTTGTTTTTAATTTAAAGTTCATTAATACAAGAAAGTGAGTTTGCGCTTTCAGATGTGATTTTGGCTCTTTAATATTATTTACATGCATAAAAATTATATATGCAACAGATTATGTAATGAGATAGTGAATGAAATTATTTAAGAAATCCATCTTAAAGAGCAATCTAATGTATCGTATTCTTAATTTTATATAGTAATTATATTTTTTAATTTTTAGTAATTTTATTTAGTCGTTAGTTGTAAGCAAATTGATCAGTCACAGTCGATTATTTTCGAAATAATCGATCTAACGACTAAAATGACTCAATCTAGAATGGATCTAACACATTAAAAATTCAATCTCATTTAAATGCGTAATCAAAACGATACAATCGCGCAATATCTAATATAAAGTCGCACGATAAATGTACATAATAATTGATAAAAAGTTACAAAGATGTATATATGTAATATAATGTAAAGTATCAAATGTATGATTTTTTTATAAGAGCAAGATTGTGAGAGAAATATTAGTGACAAAAAGATACCGATTTTAAAAGAAAATCTCTTTTACAGGTGTATCATACAAGTGACGTATCAGGGAACAATATAGAATTGTTGTCAGTGTCGGACAACGAGAACGAGCCGGATGTATCGGCTGCCAAGCGCGATGGCGATGAATCTTCGACAGCGGTTCCGGATGTCATCGCGCGATGCTATTACACACCTCAGGTAGACCTGACCTCCGACGTGGATGACTCGTGCAGGTCATCGGTCGATGCGTCGGCGAACGAATGTCACTGCGAGAAGGAACAAATTGACGAGAACAATAACGAAAACGACGAAGATATCGCCAATGAGAAGAGCGATCCGGAAACAGTGTTATGCGCCACGAATTTCCTCGAGACGGATTTTTTTGTGGGAGAGAACCAAGTAAACACCGAAAGAATCGATCGAATATTCAATACCTCGAAGGAAGATGCCGATGATGACGTTTCTCTCTCCGAAGCTCCATGCTTGTACGATGTTCCTCGTCTAAAGAGGATCAGTTTGGAGGATCAGTTGATCAAACCGAGAAGAACTCGCGTCTCCAATCGCGTCTCTAATCGGGTCAAAAGACCTCGAAAAATCATTTGCGAGATGTATGGTACTAGGACCATTAATTACGATCTGCCTACGCCGGATCAAGTGCCGGCGGAAGTGGGAGTGAAATTGTCGACGTTGAGCGAGAGCGATAGCGATGTAAATGAACCATCGCCGCAAGATGCGAAAACGACGCTATCGTTCGAGTCCCAGTGGTGCGACATAGAGAAGAACTTGCATCAACCGTTACTGAGCGATCCGAGTTCCAGTCCATCGTCACGGTCCGATACGAATAGCACCAGCTCCACCATTTCCTCGTGCTCTACGTGTTCCTCGTCCACGTAAGAGCGCAACAATCTTGAACAAAGTATCAAATACTTCAATCTTTTATACGAGATTTTGATATACACGAGGCGTACTTGCATGGACATTGAATGCTAAACACACGTTTTACATATTGGACAGCATCATTTTCTTATTTTTCGATAATTTTATTTTCATATGACTTATTTGCAGATTTTCGTTATTTTTTTTTGCTTTTAATTTCTGTATAACGAGATAATTTCTACTTTTATTTCTATACTTTAGTTGTATCGAGTTTTCTTATTTTTATTTTATTTGTATGTATCTTTAGTATTACAGACTTGAAAAGCAAAAATTTTTGTAATTTTTTTCTTACACTTTATATTTTTTTAAATTGTAACGGAGGTGAAAAATATTTTATTTAATTTGTTAATTATCTATGATATTATAATTTGTTACCAAAGATATTATTATATAGAATATATATAAGTATTCTACATTTATAGAATATATATAAGTATTCTACATTTTTTCATGAGAGAAATTGTATAATTCACAAAGTGTATAATTCACAAAAGATTGACAAACCAAGGAGCGGCTACATGCGTTTTCTAGGTATTCTTTAGCAAGCATCATACTCAAGTAATATATATCAATAAATAGTATGCGAGAAAAATATAAAATTAAGTATTATACATTTAATTCCAGAATATATAGTATAGCTGTCACACATGGCGATTATTAAAATGTGGAAGAGTATCTCTGAAAAGAGCGAAAGAGAGAGAGACTCCTTATCGTCGTCGCTCGCGGGCATTCTCGCGGTAAGGGATCAGTAAGGTAGGAGTGCCAACAGGGTAACGAGAAGGAGATGCAGGTGCAACGGTGCGCCCCGACGATCGTCACCGTGGCATGCCTCTCGTCTCGCTTTAAACACGAAGGTTGCGTTTTTGCTGGTCTCGCTGGTCTGCCGTAGCGTCCCACCGCGTGGCAACCGCTTGGATTCGATGGAGCGGCGTCAACGGAGCGCGGCGAAGAAAAACGGCGCGGCGGGACCCCTCGCGGCGGAGAGTCGCGGTTCGAGAAACGTTCCGCGCTCCGCTGACGACGTTCTTCCTCGTCTGTGGCTGTATCCGACGATTAATCACTTCACGGAGAATGACAACTTTGCTTTTACCACGGACAAGTTTAGAGACATATCGACGCAAATTTATTCGCGAACCGAAGCTAATAATTCATCGCGCGTTTTATTCAAAAGAGATGATTTTTTTTTTATTATGATTTTTTACTTTGATATATATTAATTTTATATTATTGCTTTAATAATTATCATTATCGCTTTTTTTACTTATTGGAGTAATAGGAGGAAAGGACATTCCTCTAGTGTAAAATTATTTTTTTACGAGATTACGATAGTATTTATAGTTCGTATCTTTGTTTGGATGTAAATGATACGTGTCTTATATTTAAAAATATATTTCGTACATAATAATAAGATTGAAAATATTCTGCACGAGATTAGATTACGGTTATTTCGTATTTTTATACATGTATTATATGTCTTATATTTAAAAATATACTACGTATATAATAAGAAGATTAATAAATTAAAGATATTCTATACAGGAAATATTTCTTAAATATGCGTTTCAATAATATTACATTACATTATATGCATAAGATCTGATTGATTATAAATTTATAAATGATGTAAGAGTCAATTCTCTCGTGAAGTTTTGTCAATTTTTAATTTGAAAAAATCTCGCGATTATATTTTGCATATTTTCGATCGAGTGTAATGCAAATCCATTGAACGTAGCACTCGAGTATCGCGACAAGTATAAACGCCAAGCACAGCGTTTGACCAGCAAAAATCACAGCCGGTTTCTAGCAGCCCGGCATATGGCAAACGTTACCTCGACACGGGCGTTTTATTCGCAGCCAGCGCGCCGTCTCGCGGCTATTATTCGTGTCCATCGTCATCGTCGTCTTCGTCGTCGTCGTCGTTGCCGTCGATTCGCATCGGCAACGGATCGGGGAACTGGAAGCGTAACCAGGGGCAGCCAGCCGCGAAAAACGGAACCGGCGACAGACGTATACGAGAGGGATCATCCACATGCGAGCGGCGCCTGTCGTCGACCGTTTCGTCGCTTCCGGCTGCCGCGCGCGCGTTTACGCATAATTTCCTTTCGGCACGCGCGATTTGTTCGAATCCACCGCGCGCGATCGCTGGCGCCATCTGTCGTCGCCATTAAACGGCGGAGCGGACGTGTCATGATTGATGGCGGATTCCCTCCGAGTTTTATCTCTCGAGACGCGAGAATCGCAACGGGCAGAGATGATTCTATGAAATGGAACGAGACACGCTTTTGTATCTCTGCGGAAAAGTTGTAAACATGCGGCGTAAAAAGCCGCTCTCTCAATTGGGCGAATAAACAGTTAGGCGCGTTTTTCTTTTCGAGAAGGAGGGAGGCAGGGATGATGTTCCAGAAGCAAATAAAATATTAATAAAATGCATTTGTAACATTGCAACATTCGGCATCGAAGCATGAGATTTATTCTCCGTCTAACAAGATATATATATCAATTAATTTTCTTAAACGAATGAGAATTCTTTGGCGCGCCGAGTTACGTTATTCGAGTAACATCGTTTTCTTTATGTATATTCGGACAATCATTCTTGTACTCTCCAATGTATTTAAAATAATTCTAGGATAATGAGACCTTGGTCGTAAAACAATTAAACTTTCGAAAAGAGTCAAATAGCTACATATACTTAATAATACTGACTGTGGGATGCGAATACAAATTTATGACTCGTTCGTAGTCAAGGGGTATAATATTACCGTGATAAAAATCGCGTGGGGGAGGAGGGAGGGAGGGCCCAGACACGCGTTAGATAGATAAGGATCCCCGTGAAGCAGCCGTGAACTTTGCACCGTGAGAGGAGTTCGCTTTGCTTAACGAGCCGCGCCGAAGATTCCCGCGCTTCGAGACAATGAAGTACGTTGCGTGCATATCCCTCTCCTCTCCCCTTCCCCCTTTCCCTCGCATGGTATTCATAATACAGTGAGAAGGGAAGTCACGTGTTATCGTGATTTATTATTGCGCGGCTGCGCTTAATCCGGCCCTCAAAGTCTAAGATTAATTTTTTTTTACTAGAGCTCGCTACACATTAATTAGTGGTTACTTCATAGCACTGTAATTCTTTTAAGTGAAAATCCTTATATTTGACTTTATACCGGGCGTTTGCTAAATTCAGTATTTTTGATCATTTTCATTGTCACATTGAGAATACTTTATTTTGTATAAAATTATTTTGTTATTTTTTTTATCTCTACTGTATTGTACTAAAAAAAATTATATATACTTTACCATATTAATGTAAAAATAAGAATGGGAGTAATACTAATAGTAATACTAATAGTAATACTAAATAAGAGTTTCTCTGGTGGATAATGTTTTTTGTAAACCTTTAGTTCCAGAGTGATGACATGTGAGAAATTATAATGTTGAGTAAAAAATATAAAAAAATTTGTAGTGTTTTCGAATGTCACAGCCAAATGCATGTACAGCAGAAAAATTATACATATCGCAGACATAAAATATTATACATCATACATTATATATTTCTTATATACATTAGACTTACAGATTTGATGATAAAAATAAAACGTTGCTCCTTTCGATATATGTATTCTTTATAAAAATGGTCAAAGTTATCAGCAGAATGTATTTCGGCGAGAGATTCGAAACGGAGTGAAGTAAATTACGAAATCAGATATTTAAATTCAGAGATCAATTTCTCACTAGAAGCATATGATTTGAAGGAAGTAGCATAAACTCTCCAAGATGGCGCGAATTACAAAATAAAATATTTTTCATATTTAGTTATATGATAATTTCGAGTTCAGATTAATTGACGAATTGACAGCGATTTAGAAATGATATAAAAACGTTAAATAAATATATCGAAAATCTCTATTTTAAAAAAGTATATAATCAATGTGAAGTTTACTTAATTGAAACACATGATGCTAATTATTTAACAAGTTGGTTAAGATAGAATTTGAAATATTTATTATATTTATTTTATCCAGATTTTTCGAAAATAATAAATGCGTAATAAAAGATTGAGTGACAGCTGTCATTTTTTCTTACCCAAAAGATAAGAATTCAAAAAAGCACGCGCTGTTGATCTGTCAACAGAATATTGAGAAAAAATATTTCGATAAGAGATAAAACGACCTGAAGTAAAACTTGCTAATTCAAATTTTAAAAATTAAATTTCTGAGCTCTGATAGGTGGACGATATTGGACAAATATGATGAAAGAAATAGCACGAATTATACTCGGCGTCAACTTTTAAAATACTTGGGCTCGGTTAAAGGTGCAATTTCATTGACGCTAAAAAATAGCGTTAACCATTGGTTGAACAATGAAGCAACTACTTACTTCTTTGTTCAACCAATGGTTGACGCTACTTTTTAGCGTCAATGAAAAGGCCGCTTAATTGGCCCTCAGCGGACTCGAGCTGGATAATATTACTAGATTTTCCACTGGATAATATTACTAGATTTTCCGATGTAATTCGACGCTGATTGGTCGGATCTGAAAGTAGAAACCAATCATGTTCGATTGCTATTTAGCAGTTGAGTCCGCTGAATGCGGTCATTACGCCCTCTGTGTCGTTTACTTAAAAACGCTCATTATTGGCTCTCGTGCTAAACGTGATATTTAACCTAATTTAACCTAACTGTACTACACGACTTGAAGTTGATTGATACTTTCTAATAAAAAAAGAAAAAAAAATGGGTCATAAAAAGGTATTTTTTCGTTATTTTTGCCAAATATCATTATATAATTAATATAAATATATCATAATTCAATAATGTTCAGTAAAAACATTGATAAACATTTATGTATAAGTTATATATCTAACAATGATCATGTATTCAAAAGAATAATTTGTTAATGTATTAAAGATAGTTTGGAATTTTCTTATTAACATATGATTTTTATATAGGGTCGATGCGTTAAGCGAAATAAACAAATAAATGTGGGGGAAAAGGAAGAATTAGTGCGAGCACCTCATTCTTTTGTATTCCATCGTGGCTTACCAGGAGATCACATTGTCGAACTTACTAAAGATTTTCGCAGAGTTATGGAACCTTTTACAGCTTCATCTTTAAAGATACGGAAGAAAAATACTATTAAAGATTTTGTCTCTGTTGCGGGTATCTTTCATATCAGTCATATATGTATCTTTACAAAGACAGAGCTAGGAATGTACCTCAAGCTTTGCAGGTACTATTTATTTATTTTTTTATAAATTTTATTGATAATTCTCTATGATCATTCAAAATAACAATTATTATTATTATAGATTACCCAGGGGGCCTACCCTTACTTTTAAAATACATAATTTCTCCCTAGCACGAGATGTAGTATCTATGTTAAAGAAGCAGATGGTATACGAGGAAGCCTATAAAAATGCTCCATTGGTGATTTTAAATAATTTTAGTGGAGAAGGCATGCAATTGAAACTTATATCCTCTACATTTCAAAACATGTTTCCAACTATAAACTTAACCACTGTAAGTATGGTAAAGTACAACTAATGAAAAAGAACCAGTTTGTTATTTAGATGATAAATATTTTTACAGATTAATTTGAGCACAATTCGTCGTTGTGTATGTCTAAATTATAATACTACATCGAAAACAATTGACTTTAGACATTATGCGATCAAGATTGTACCTACAGGTTTATCAAGAGGTGTTAAAAAATTAGTTCAAGCAAAAGTACCAAATTTATCCAAATGTGAAGATATCTCAGACTTTTTAACAAAACCGACCATGTCTGAAAGTGAGGCTGAAGATGATGAAATTAGTCATGTTACGTTACCGCAAAAATTATCTTCAAGAGGGAATCATGCCAATTCTACAAGTGCAATTAGATTATATGAATTGGGACCGAGAATAACGCTACAGGTTAAAGAATTAGTACAATAAATTTAGATATATTTTTAATCAAAATATTAATTGCCTAAATCTATTTTAGTTAATCAAAGTGGAAAATGGACTTCTCGATGGTGAAATACTTTTCCACGAGTTTATACATAAAACAGAAGAAGAAAAACTTACGATAAGGAAAAAGAGAGCAAAGAAGCAGAAATTAAAGGAAAAAAGAAGGAAAATACAAGAGGAAAATAAAAGGAAAAAAGAAATACAGAAACAAGAACACAAAGAAAAATCGCTCAAAGGAATTCAGAAGAAAAGAGAAAACGACATGCTATTACAAAAAATCGCAAAAGAATCTGCTGAAGAGAGTAAATTGGAAGATGATGATGTACAGTATTATCGCGAAGAAGTAGGAGAAGAACCTGACAAAGGTAATATTGAATGCTAATATTTTGTAGATATATTTAAGATAAGATATATTTTAAGATATATTTAATTCAATTGTGATGTAATGATATTTTATTTCAGATCTATTTCAAACAAAAATTGGTACAAAGAGACCACAGAAGCACATTATAAAGTACAAATCAAAGAAAATAAAACTTGATAAGTCATAAAATAAAATTAATGTGCGTGAACTAATAATTGAAAATAAATTACTTTGTACCTCCTTTCATACATCACGTTTTGATAAAGTTAATCTTAATTATTTTATATCACAGATGTCATACTATATTCAAAAATGTAAATGTTGGTAAAAAAATATATTATATAAAATCGAAGTATTATATTGTTGTATAAAGTAAAATAATTAATCTATTTTATATCTATTTTATATTATAAAAATATATCATATTATTATATAGATGCAATATTTACATTTTATATAATATAGTTTTACATTCTATCTAGTAAGTTCTATCTAGTAAGTTAAATTTTAATTATCCTTTCATTAAAACAATATAAATAAACTATAAAGCATAATATTTTAATTAGCTAATACTATTTCAAGAAGAGGAAAATTTTGTCAAATATATGGCAATACAAGATATGAATCCTTGTAATCATGAATTTTTAGATTGCAATAATATTTCGTACTCTGTTATTTGTTTCTCAAGTTCCTTTATGGTTTTCGATCGAGAACGACAGATATCCTTCATGAACTGTTTTTCCTTTTCTAATTTCGTTATTCTTATTTCATCCTGCATAAAAATAAATTTTATTATTACGTAAAAATTATGACAATCATGTAGCCAATAAAACTTGAATGAAGAAATAAAATTGAAAACATTTTACACAATTATATATACATATTTCTTTATGCTTATTTTCTGACATTGGTATAAATATATTTGTAATATTGATTATTTTTTAACTCTCTAAAGCATTGATGTATACTTACTTCGATTATGCCGCTGCTCGTACCGCAAAATCGTAATATATGATCTGGTATTGTCTGACACATCTGATCTCTTCTATTTATAAGTCTATGCTTGCATACATCGCATTCTTTTGCACTTGTACGCAACATGGCAATTTGAAGTCGTTTAATCTCTGCTTTAAGTTCGTTATTCTGTGCAAAAACATAGTACAATTTATAAAACAAATTATGATCAAATTTATATAGTTCACAAAATAATCAAAATAATTATAATTATTGACATACAATAAAGTACCTTATTTTTATATGCTGATAAATGTTCCTGCAATTCTTTACACTTGGCCTGATAAGGAAAACTTCCACTTCGTATTTGCAGCTCCAATGTCCCTATTTTTCCGTTCTTCGATACAACTTCCATTTGCAATTCACGTATCTTATTTTTCAACGCTGTACAATTACAATCATCATTGTGAGATTTAACTCTTTCAGAAGAAACATCTGTTCCTTGCACGGATTGCGACTGATTTTTACTCTCGAGAGCTTCAATCTTCTTCTGTAATTCGTCATTTTCGATGCGACATGACCAAAGCTGGTCTTCAAGCTGTGCATTTTCAACATTGTGCTCACAAATAACTTTTGCTAATTCCTCCGATTCTTGGTCAAGTTCCTTATTCTTTTCAGTCAATTCCTTTATCTTACTAACATAATCCTCGATTTCTTTGTTCTTTTGATCCAATTCAACTTTTATCGCCTCTAATTCTAAGGCAATTTTGTTTTTCTCCTGTAATAAAATGTCGTATTTTTCACAAGTTGCGTACGTGTTATTATATTTGGACTTATACGACGATAATGTCTCTTTTAATTCTTGATTATCCTTGCATACAACATCATATTGACTATTTAGAGTAATCAATTGCTTCATCAACTCAGCTTTGGCATCTTGTAACTCTGTTATCCGATTACTAGCACCATCCAAATTATTTCGCAAAGATCTATTCAAGTCCTTCAGTTCTTCCATTTGTTCCTCCGCTTGAATCTTACTCGTACTATTTCTGACTCTTTTCTCTAATGTAATACACTTATGTTGCACTGTCGCATAATCATCTTTCAAGGTATTTATTTCTTCCGTCAAAGTAGCGTTCTTCTTATCTAATTCGACTATTTGTCTTTTCAATTCGATGCTCTTCAATTCCTCGAAATTTAATTTATCCTTAATTGCATCCATATCTTTCTTATTTTCTATCTTCAGTGTCTCAATTTCTATTCTGTATTGCTCCATATTGGCTTTTCGTTCGCCAGTTTGTTGTTTCAGGAATGCATTCTCCGACTCGATCATCTCCAATTTAACTTTATACTCCGTAAGATCGTCGCATTTAGTTTTTAAAAGTTCCGTAATTTCTTCGATACGCAAGTTTTTCTTTTCCAGTTCACAATTCAGATCATTGTAAACTCCCGTGAGCTGTTCCAATTCCATCTGCATTTTATTTATAATTTGATTACTTTTCATTAATTCGTTGTTTTTCAGATCGATAATGTTCTTCAATTGCTCTTGATTAGCTTCGAGACCTTCGATGTTGCCTGCCAATTCCATATTTTTCGTTTTAAATGATTCTATTGTACACGCGAGTTCTTCTATTCGTTTAGTATATGCTTCCTTCTCCGATTTCAGCCTCATCTGAAATTCGGTTTCTTTATTCCTAATTGCTTCTTGCGCTTGTCTCTCCCGTTTTTGAGCAATATTAATGGCTTCTTCATTCACTGTGTCCATCTTGGAATATTTATTAAACTCAGTATGTATATTATTGAGATCCATCTCGAGCAGGCTAATCTTTTCTTTCAATATATCTCGATCGCGATTATTATCTTCTAAAAGTTGCTCCAAACGCGTAACTTCTTTTTGCAATTTATTAGATACAGTTTCTCGTTGAGATAAATCTCCTTGAAGCTTTTCTATATCACTCTCCAATTCTTTCACCCACAATATCCTACGTTTCTCTGTATCCATGCTCTGCTGTTTGTCTTCTTCAAGTTTTTGCTTTTCTTTATTAAAGTTATCTTGCATAGTCTTCACTATCTCCTTCTCTTTCACCATGATTGTTTGCAAAAACATCTGAAACAACTCATCTACCGATTTATCCAGGAATTCCTCAGCATTAACTTTCGGTTTAAGGTACTCAATCTCTTTAATAATATTTTTGGAAATATTATTTAATACATTCTTGAGTTTTTTGTTATCTTCGGCTAATGTTTTATCTTGCTGAGATTTGGATTCGTACTCGTTTCTCATCGTCTCGAATTTATTTTCTATGTCGCGCAATTTAATTAATTCTTGTTTTAAATAATCGTTTTCCGAAGTGTATTTATTTATTTTTTCATTTAATACTGTAAATCTACTTTCCGATTCTTTACAATAATCAGCAAATTCTTGTGAAACAGTTGCTTTAGAATTAGTCAATTCCGCATTCATTGATCTTAATGATTCCAATTTCTTCTCATATTCCTGCTGCAAAAGGTTATTGCTATTAAGTTCTTCTTTCTCTCTTTTTGTTAAATCTAACTCGTGTTGTAAACAGGAGAGGTTTTGACGTAATTCGTTTATTGTTTGTTCTTTCTCTAACTTATCCACTTTCAGATATTCCGTTTCAATTTCAATAATGAGCTTTGCATCCTCGATTTCTTTACATCTCATAGAATATTCCTGTAACTTTTTAGTCATATCCCTTATTTCATTTTCGAGGATGTCTGTTTTTCCTAAATACAATAATTCATTCTCTGAGATCTTTTGCCCTAACTGTTCATTAGCAATTTTCAATGACTTAATTTCATCTATTAGAGAATCTTTTTCATTGATAAATTTGCTAAGATTTTTTTTGAGCTGTGTAGTTTCTTCTTTTATTTTCTCAAAATCATTTTGTAAATAGCTTATATCTTTTGCCATACTGTCTAGTCTCGAAGTTTTGCTTGGAGATTTCTTAACACTAGTATTTATATTATGAACATTCGGCGGATCTGTAACACTGCTATTTTGTAATTCTTCGACTTCACTACATTTTTCTTTATACAAATCCGATAATTTATCGTGATCCTCTTTCAAAGTTTGTAATTCGCTATTTAGAGACTGAAGTCTTTCTTCAACATAACTCACATTCATGTTTTCTAGAAAACTGGCATTAAGAGATGAATTACATATGCTTACATTTACGTCCTCCTTAGCTTTTAGAATAAGCGAATCGCTCTTTGCAACTTCACGATTAAACTTTCTTTGCGATTCTTCTAATTTGTGAGTGAGAGCCTTCACTTTGAATTTCAGCATTCTATGATTTTCAGTCATTTCTTGTAGATGAGCGCACTGAGCACAAGCGCCTAATTTTAAATCGCTGAGCTTTCTATTGAGAAGCGTAAGACGATTAACTTCCTCTTGCAGGTGTGAAATTGTTGTTTCGACATTGTCATCTCTTATAGATTTGTCTATTGTATCGTTCGTTAAAGTATTATTAAATAACGTTGATTGCAAGGTATTATTGCAAGAATTAATTTTTCGCACATTATCCAAATCTTCTATAGTCTCCATTAACTGATTAGACATTTTCGAATTCTCATTAGTCAACATTTTTATACTAGCTTTTAGCTCCACTTGTTCGGTTTTTAACAAAGTATTCTCCATTCTTAATTGTTCCTCATCATCATTATCAGTGTTTTTCTCATGTTTTAACAATAATTCTAGTTTATTTTTTAAATTATCACATTCCTCTTTTAATCCATCATTTTCTTCGATTTTATCTATTAGATCAGTCGAAAGTTCATTATTCTCAATTGTCAAACATTCGTGTTTTGCCATAAGATCAGTTAATTTATCCTTATACATACAATCGTGTTCGTATAAAAGTGATTTACTCTCTTTTAACATTTCAAGCTCTTTCATTCTATCTGTGACATTAGATAATAATTCTGAATTTTTTATTGTAAGTGCGCTAATTTGTTCTTCATATTTGAGAATTATCTGCTCTTCATTTGAGTTTGCTTCGGGTATTCTCGAGCGTAAGGTTTCCATTTGTTCATTGAGAATTGCCAAATTATTTTGTAACTCGAGTTTTTCATCCATTATTTTCGAGTTTCGTACATAAAGATCGTCAATCGTCTGTTGCAATTCAACAGTCGATTTTTCGGCGCATTCTTTTTCTGCTGACAATTTATCCGCCAATTCACTATTTTCTTTTGTTAATAAATAAATCGTTTCCTGTAAGTTTTCTATATCCGTCTTTAAACTTTGCACATCATGTTTTATTTCTAATTCAGTTTTCAAAATGAGATCTGACGATAATTTAGCACTATCATCTAAGGAAGTCTTCGTAGTTGAAAAATTCTCCATAATCCAAGAATCATTATTACTTAAATTATCATCCAATACCGATCTTGTTAATGTTTGTTCTTTCAACTGTGCATTCTCTTTCTGTATATTTTGAATAATATCCTGTAAGTCACTTATGCGGCTTTTTAAATGATTAATTTCATTATCGTTTTTTTTCAAGTCCTCGACACATTCCTTTTGCTCGTCAATGGTTTTCTGCGCTTCCGCCTGTTGTATGTTTAATTCCACTTTCGTTGAGTTATTATCTAACTCTGTTTCCAATTTTTCTTGCAATTCGGAAATAATATATTCTTTATCTAAACTATCAGGATCGCATATATTTGTTTCAAATACATTTAATTTGTTTTTTAATGAACTGTTCTCTAATTCAGCTTCTTTCAATTTTTCTTTCAATCCAATAACTATATCTTCAAATTCATTTTTTTCAACTGCAAGATCTTCAATCTGTTTCTCTAAATCACTCATTTTTTGTACATATAATTCTTGTTGATTTTTCATTGAACTATTCATTAGTTCCATCTCTTTCAATTTATCTTTTAATTCGCAATTGATTTGTTCAGATTCCATTTTTTCTTTTACAACATCCTGAATTTGGTTGTCCAAATATAATTTATGTGCTTCTTGTTGATTTTCGTCATTTTTATCTTCCATTGTGTTATTTTTTACTTCTGCCTCTATTAATTGCTTTTGCAATTCATCAATGGTAAGTTTAAATTTATTATTCTCGGAAACAAGTTGTTCAATTTGCTTTTCGTGGTTTTGAAATTTCTGGATTTCCACTTGTTCATTTAATTTATCTTGCATTGATAAATTGACTTCTTCCGCTTCTTTCAATTTATTTTGCAGTTCACAAATGGTATGTTCAAATATATTTTTTTCAGATGTAAGATTATTAATGCGTTCTTCTAAATCTTGAAAGTGTTGTTGCTGCTTGTTCACTTCATCTTTCTTGCATAATTCTATTTCTGTTAACTTATTTTGAAGATCTGTTACTTTATGTTGCAATTCATTATTTTTTAATGTAATAGTGGTAACTTGATTTTCTAATTCTACCTGCTGCATATTATCATTTTGCGATGAATGCTGTTCAAATGATTTTTCTAAATTTATATTCTGTATAGTTAATTTATCTTCTAATATAATGTTGCGTTGTTCAGCCTCATTTAGCTTTTTTCGTAATTCGGAAGCGATATGTTCATATCCATCTTTTTCCGCTATAAGAAGATTTATCTGTTTTTGTAATTCTGGAATGTTTTTCACTTCGATTTCTTGTGCAGATAATTGTGCGATTTTCTTTTCAAGACTTGGTATTTTTTGTAGTTCGGCTACTTGTAAATTTAATTTTTCTTCTGCTGAAATGTAACGCGATTCAGCAGCGGTTAATTTTTTGCGAAGTTCAGATGCTATATGTTCAAAATTTTCCTTATCAGATGCTATATTTTCGATTTGTTTTTCTAATATTGAAAATTTTGCAAGTTTTTCTTTTATTTCAGAGGAATGATCTTCAATAAATAGCTGCTTCTCTAAAGTTGTAAATTCTTGAAGTTGTGAATATTCTTCCATCAAGTTATGGATTCTTTCCCGTAATGTTGTCTTTGGTGTATCAGGGGACAGCTTACTATTTATAAGCAAGAGAGAGTGATTAAACTAAAAAACTATAAATTATAAATTTATATCAAACAAATTAAGTATTTCTTATTATTATTACCTTTCAGTTTGTATAGCTGTATCAACTTTCTCAGATAAAGTGTCACAATTATAATCCATAACCGGCGATTTATGAATAATTACATCATCTGTAAATTTTACACGATTGCGCTTTCGATATATGACAAAGGTATCTTCATCGCTTTCCTCACAATCTTCTTCATTATTCATAAGTTCTAATTCAAAATCGGCAAGAGCTATTTGGGGCGCTGTAAGAATAATATATAGTTTAAAAATTTTTAACTTTTTAAAATATTTTGTTTGCATCATACAAAAGTTGACAAAAAAACCTACATGTATCCATAATATCAGCCGTTTTGTTGGGCAATTTGAAAGGTGACACTTCTTTGATTGGTGACAAATTTGTGCATGTTTGAAATGAATTTAGTCTATGTCCAGCAGTGCCACACCAGGTCTGTCTTCTTTTTTCTTTACATTTGAATGATTCAGAGTTGTTGCGACTATCGCCATGAACTATCCGAGTTTGCAACAATCTAATTCGTTCTTCCAGATTTTTATTAATACGATCTTTTTCTTGTATTTTAGATTCCATTTCTTCAAAATCGGTCGATCGAGTTAGTTGTTTCATTCTCTGAAAAAATTCGTTGCATGTAAGTTAAAATCTTTAATCATTTATTTTTATCTTTTATTTTTATAATTTGTATAGAGAATGAAAACATGGAGATTTGTATCTAAAAGTTGTTAAGAAATATCATCATAACTTTTTATATCTTTTATATAATAAAGCAAAAAATATTTTCAGACATTTATAATAATATACCTCTAATTCTGTATGTAATATATTTATTTGTCTTGCATAACGTTTCAAAAGTACTCCATCTGACATAACTTCATTCAGTTCAGGCTTATTTTTTATATTTCTGGCTCTAGATGCGAATCTGTTCATTGAAATTAAATAGAAAATATTTAATATACATTGCACAACATGCTTATAAGTTATTTAAGAAACAAAAATACTAACGACAATGTACAGTGAGTTTCGTCAAGAGCAGCTGGCGTTACTGCACATATTATTGCAGTCATTGCATTACCACCTAGAGATGCTTGCAATAACCTTGTTAGTTTACTGTCACGAAAATTTATAAATTTTTGACAGTCTTGCGACTCGCTCAACTGTTTTATCACTAATGCCAATGTAGACAGAGACAAATTAATATGACGACCCTCCTTAAAACGTTCTCCAGTAGCTCCTGTTTGTCTTGCTCTCTCTGAACCAGCAAGATCTACCATATTTAATTGTGATACTTGTATCGCACCATCTGAGCCAGCACTAGCTTCTCGACTCTCAATTGTCTACAACAGCATACAATTTTATTAAAACTTTTACACCAACAATATACATTATATAAATATATTTAATAATATTTAAAAAATTTATATATAAATAGAAGTGGCATTCTTACGATTCTGAATATTGTGTGGCTCCTGCTACTTCGCTCATTCATGTTTGTTTCACCTATTCTTCTGTGTTTGTTACCTTTATACATTATAGATAAAACATTCTCTGGACAATTTGTCACTTCTTCTTTACACTTTACAAACACTTGACCATTTATGTCTTCATGTATTTTTAAATCTAATGAACCTTTACTTAAAAGATCATTGACCCTCTCATTGTAAATTTCTAGGTAAGATACTCTAAAAAATTTATGAATTAAATATAAATAGTGCTATCTTTTTATCATTATAACAATTTATATCATATAACATATCAAGGAAATAAAATAATTTAAAGTGTCAGAGCAACTGTCTAAAAATTTCAGTTTCTATAATTTTGCTATATAAATAAGAAAAATTTGAGCAAACATATTCTACTATGATAATATAACCTGTAAAAATTAAAAGGCTATCCCATTGTGAATATAAGAAAAAAAAATATATATATATAAACCTCAATAAAAACTCGCGTCCAGAAGTATTAGCTATAGCATCAAACATATGTTCGATAGCTAAAGGTATTATACCAAGCTCCTCTGGAGTACCCATCATGGTATATGTTTTGCCGGAACTTGTCTGTCCATAAGCAAATATTGTGCCATTAAATCCATTTACAGCAGCATCAACGATAGGCTTTACAATATTATCAAACACATCGTTGTTACTGGCATTTGTGTCAAAAATATGATCTGCAAGATTAACAATAATGAGTCAACTTAAATAAGAGATTTAGCGAATCAAGGATACAAAACGATAAGAACTGTTTTATCTATGCAAATTATAAGTCCAACGTGACAATCGATAAATTAAAGAAAAACATGTTTTTCTTTATTACATTTCATGTTATACTTTCTGTATCTAAAATAAAATAAATATATATATATATATATATGGATTTCTTCTTATTTTAAATACTGCTTAAAGAGGATGCACTTATTGCAGCCAGTTGGTGCTGCAAATTTGTAGGTTGATGTATGTGATTGATTGATATTGATTTGTAGATTGTAGGATTAGAAAGGCTAAGAGATTTCATAGGAAATCGAATTAAATAATAAACAATAAAATAGGTGATCCCATTAAAAGACGACATATACAACTCGATACATATTTAAATAATGTAAAAAGAAAAAAAGAAAAGACGAAAATGATGCAGAAAGTATAACTAGAAAACATCCAACCTAATACATTGACAGATTATAAAGTTACAAGTCGAATAAGCAGATATGTTTCGGACATGTACTTCGTATGGCAATTTTTCAAGTTTCGTACCAAATTGAAATCCACTCTCGCCTCGCTTCTTGAATTCCGCATCGGTGGCTATGATGGTGTTCCCTTGAACTGTCCATTGTATCGGCAGATTTTCGTCTTCTTCTCGTTTGATGAGCGGTCTGACTTTAATAGCCACTTTAACGCTGTCCGACATTACGAGGATCTTTATTTTGTTTAATGAAAGTCACAGGTCTTACTACCGCACTCGAAAAACACGTACACTCGTTAACACGCGCGTCATCGATTATCTTCGGTGGAACACGTTGAACGCTCGTTAAACTTTGTTCAAATTCAAAACATGCTTCGCGCATGCGCGCTGATCGTCATCTGACTGCGGCTGTCTTTAAATTAGTTTAAATCGTAGCGCGATAATAAATTGCAGAGTCGCGTATGCATCAATATTCACGGAGAGTCTGAATTGACCAATGATGTGTGATTTCTAAGGGATTGCCAACTTCCTGCAAGTCTGAACAGACTTGAAGTATGCAGTGCGTCGCGGTCATTACGATTGATTACAGTCTCGTGTAGTCTTAGTCGAGAATATATATTATATAAACTTATATAAATTTTTCATTACGAAAAAATATTGTGTTATTGAACGAGAGTAAATTTCTAGGCTGTAATGGTAATAGGACAATAAGTAAAAGTGTATAGAGAGAGGAAATACAATTGAAACATGCAGATGTGGTGAGTGATATTTAATTTCAAATATATAATTCAATAACACATGTAACAATGGTATTTTTAAGATTTACATATATATGCCATTACTATATATGTTTCTAAAAAAGTGTGAATGTGAAATATAGAGTTTAATGATAGTACAATATATATGTATATGACAATTTTTCTACATTATTCTAGACCTAAAAAAAACTCTGCATGGAAACATATATTAACGACAATGCTTGATTTATGAATGCATTATGTTTGATTAAAAAGATTTCTTTGATAAGATAAACTTTTTTTCATTACAAATTGTATTACAAATAACCTAATTAATTTAAAATTCTTTTGATAATCAGTTTGGTATAAAAATTTCTTGCTTGATAAAACCTTGCATTGTATGAAGCAAAATAATATTTTTTTAATACTTTCAATCATCCTGCATCAGGCTATATAGTGCACAGGACTGGATGTCTATATTCTTAATAATAAAGAACAGACACAGTCCACTCTTTGTCATCTATGTCTGTATTTTTTAATCCTCTGCTGTATATTACAGCATTACCAATCTCTACGTTAGCAAATAGCTCAGTGACTTTGCATCTCTATCTGATAATCAGAAGCATATCTCTATAATGCTCTTGTTTGCTGATTTTCTTTGGTCTCAAAATGAGACTAAACATAGCATTTTTTCTTACTGTTACCACCTACTTTATAAGCACTTCTCATTATATGAGAGTTGCAAGCTTTCCCTTTATAATATATCTTTTCAGTTATCTGTGTTAAAAATAACACAATATTATACACATATATATCTAAATAAATAAATTTATAAATTAATCACAATATTAATGGACGGATTGTAGACTTGTACATGTTCAATTTGTTTTAAATTTTTGCCATAAAATTTTGTTGAATATTAGATGATTAAATTTATATTAATTTTATTGTAAAGTTTTGTTAAATATTAGACAATGATTTAATTTGTGTTAATATATTAAATATATAAGTAAATGTTATGAGATAATAAAAAGAGATCATTTTATGTGCATTAATTATTAATTTAATATTAAACTGACTTTTATGCTATTACTTTATAATCAGATAACTAGACAAGAAATGATGTAGCAAAAGAAATTTGCAAGTATTATAATTATATTCAGCAAAGTATTTTTGTGGAATGTATATATCTTATATCACAAAAATCTTCATATATGTTTTGTGCACATTAATAAACTGTATGAAATGTATCCATATTTCATATATATAATCATTTGGAAGCATAAAATTTGTATAAAAAATTTGATAAAAGTTCAATATAAAAATCGCATATCAAATAAAATGTCATTATAAAATTTGTGATTGCCTTAAAATGTAAAATACGAAGAAGTATATTATTAATTCATGATTTATCAAATTAGATTAATGATTTCATGTCTTCTTTAAGTAACGACTTTGATACGTAATGTTGAAGCGCACTAAACAATATTTTTATGTGCACAAATAATTATACTTTATAAATTCTCAAGAAATATAACTACTTGTATAAGTACTTATATACTCTTGTATAAATATATATATAATATTTGATACTGGCAGTTTCCCCAAAGAAAGTACAGTCACTTGTTGCATTATTTCAATTGTGACGGAGTGCCGGATCGGTGAGACGAAGGTGGAGCAGGTAAAGCTAATGATGGCGGCAAACTAGTAGTACTCGTCAAGGTAGAGTCTAATTTACGCGCTTCGTGTTCCAGTAATACCGCATCTAGTGACGGATCTTGCGCCACGGTTCTCAAAGAATCGCCCAATGCTTGTCGCAATTGTTGCATTTCTCTACCGGCCCGTGAACTCCGCAAAACGTACAACTGTCTGCGCTTTATTTCTTGATTGAGCTGTTCTCGTAATAATTGTATCTACAAAAGAAAGATATATAATATATGTGTATAATATTGCATTATTTTTTTATTTGTATAAATGGAAACAATTATGTGATAGATATATAATATAAATACACTACATTCTCTCTTATATTCTATCATAGATATATGTACCTGATTTTCTAAACGTGATACTTGCTGACGATGACTTTGTTCTCTCGCCTCTAATAATTTTTCGGCCTGCAATTGCGCGGCTCTGATCCGTTCTAATTCTCCACTTCTATCTCGACTTGTGTCCAATAATGAATGGGAGGAATGTATATAAGTTGACTTAATTCGTATAAGTTCGGCCTCCTTTTCCGCCAATTGAGTCTCCAATTTACGAATCTTTAATCTTAATTCTCTATTTTCATGTTCCAAGTTGTCAAGACTATAACTAGTACCTAGAAGTTCTATATGTGCTTTTTCTGGACGTTCGTAACTCTTGCTTCGAATAACACTCGTTTTGCCCGCAGCAATTTGACGTTCTAAATTACGTTTATCAGCTTCTAATAATTTCACCTATTAAAAAATATATTTATAAATAATATTTATAAATAATATATTTGTTGTAAATATAAAATTTTTAATTGTTTTATATACTATTTCATAAATCTCTCTTTCTCTCTCTCTCTCTCTCTCTCTCTCTCTCTCTCTCTCTCTCTCTCTTTCTCTGCAAGAGGTCTTAACATTTGTATAATCATTACATTTACCTTGTCATTAAGAGCATCCACTTTTCCTCTCATTTCGCTTCTTTCTCTTTGAACAGTTTGTAGTTGTCGTAATAGTCCTTCATCTTTAGTGGTACTGCCTTCCGGCGGCCAAGTAGACAATCTTAATTGTGATTCTAAAGCTGATCGTTGCACTTCATTATTAGCCAACTCATTCTGTAGTCGCGCATTTTGATCAATCAATGATTGATTCGTATGTTTTAAATCGCTTAGGGTCTGCTGCACCGTTTCTAAGCGTTCGGATAATATTCTACGCTCATTTTCGGTATTCGAAAGCTGTTTCTGCAGCTGAAGATAAATAAAATAGTGTTAATATTTTTAATGAAAAAGAAATAGCTTATAGAATAGTCTTCTTTTACCTGTTTGAGTTTCTCATTATTACTTTGAGAGGAAGCAGTAATCTCTATTATATTATGTTGTAATAGATTCATTTCACTCTTGAGTTCGCTTTCCGTGGCAGATGCTTTTTCTAGTGCCAGTTTTAATTGCTCTATGGTGGATTTTAAGGATGCGCAACGTTCCTCTAGATTTGTCATAGTGCGGCTTTGCGTGTCAAAACGATCTTGTAATTTCTAATAAGAAACAAAAAATAGTACTTATCAGATTTGCATTTAAATTCCAAATTCAAAGAAATGTCGTTATTGACCAAATTATTATGGTTGATTTTTTAATTCGAGTAAAGATGTCTTTATTTTAAGGTACAGATTGCATTATGAATAATTAAAGTGACAATAAATTACAATAATTTAATTGCCAATCTACTGAATTTAAAATTTAATTATTATGAATCATTACGTGTCTTATACTGCGATATGTTTAAAATATAAATGTGTTTTGTACATGAGAAAAGCACATCATAGATCTTACTTGAATATGTGCTTCTTTTTCTTGCAGCATCATTTGCAATCTTTGGAAATCTCCGTCTAAAGACATTCTATGTAATTCCATTTCTGTTGCGCGAGACTCGCTATGGCGAACATCCTTTTGAAGACTGCGCTTTTCCGTTTCCAATCTGTTTAATTCATGTTTCATTTTCTCGAATTTATCCTAAAGTATAAAGTGTTACATATACTTAGATTATAATGATTATGAAAATATTTCTTTTTTTCATACCTCGTATTGAGATTTCTCTTCCGATTCAGTACTAATCTTTAATTCTAACATTGACAATTTTTCACATAATTGCTCGCATTCTTTGGTTTTTTGTTGCAATGCATTCAGCTAAAGATAAATAAATATTAATGTCTTTTTAGCATAGAGAAAGAATATATAAGATATATAAAGAGATAGAAAGATAAAAAGATTTACCTGTGCTTGATAACTAGTTTGTTTTTGAGTTAGTTTTGCCTCCAAAGATTTCTTCTCTTCCTGAAGCGTTCGAATATTAGCTAAAAGATTATTGGCTTTTATATCGGTATTACTTTGATTCTCTTGAGATTCTTTCAACTGTTTCTTTAAACTGCACAATTCCGTCTTGTAATCGTCCTGCAATTTATTAAACCATACAAATTTTATTATAACACAAATCAATATTTTATATAATTATCGAAATTTAGCACATACTCTTTCACGTTCGATTTGGGCAACTTGTTGCATAAGTGATCGCACGCCTTTTCTAATAGCTTCAGGATCGACATCCAATATGATATCTCTGCCAGTGTCACCGTGATCTTGCACTTGATTAAAATACATTATATATTAACTATATGTTACATATACCATCTCACTGTATAAGATAACCGTGTCTCGTTGCTGCCAATTAAACTAAGAGATTTTATTTTATATAAATTACCACGTGCCGGACTCCATCTTCTTGATGGACTCATCAATTTAAACGGCATATTTACGCTACCATCCATTTGAATGCCGGCGATACGGCGGAGCGTAGAGCCTACACTACTCAACTTCTGCTCCACTTCCTTTTTAGCGGTTTCCAATTGCGACAATTGAGCATCGAGAGCTCTCACTCTTCCTTCAGATCCTCCTAGGCGCGCCTGATATGATATGCATGCTTTTAATTTTAATACGGAATGTAAGTTGTCATCTTTTTATTATCCGTCTTCGAGAATACCTTCAACTCTTGCAATTGCTGCGTGGCATCGGCCAAGCAAACTTCCAGATTATGCTTCTGATCCTCCAGTTTTCTCTCGCGGCAGCGGCTATCCTCGAGACGCACCAGCAACTCTTGCTCTCGAGCACGCCACCTTTCATCTTCCTCGTCTGCTCGCGTGCGTAATTTTCCCAGTTCTTGTCGTGTAACTTCCAAGCTATTATCCAGATCGACAACCTAACGAAAGGAAAGATCTCGCGTTAATTGAATTGAATAAAAAAATCTTGCATAACATTTTCATACCTGTTTTTTCACTTGATGCAATTGCAATTGTATACGCTCTCTTTCTTCAATCTCGTTAGCTAATCTAGCCTGCAGTTCCTTCTCTTCGTTCTGAGCTTGAGAATTGTTCTCATGACATTTCTGTAATTCGTCCTGCGTGAAGCGGAGTTGTTGCTGCAATTGCAATGCGTCGCGTTCCAAATCTCGCACTTGAGCTTGTAAGCGCGTTCTCTCAATGTCCATGGCCGCTTTCACATCCTCCAATGCTAAACACAGATATTTTAAGTTACATATTGAACCGTTAAATATCTATATGTATGAAGAAGAGAGTAATACCGACTTGCTATTTTTTGATACGATTCTTCCAAAATTCTTCCCTGTTCTCTTCTTTCAGTTTCGATTTGCTTAACACGTTCTCGCAATTCCTTGTTGCTATTATTATATTTCTCTTTTTCATATGTCGTATCTGCCAATTGTCTCCTTGAATCTACTAATTCTTTGCGCAGTGTCTCATTAATATTGTCAGCTGTAATTATATAAATTGTAATTATGACAAATAATTACAAAATTAAATGTGTTGTATAAAGAAAAGAGTAGATTACCGTCTTTAAGTTTTCTAATAGTATCGTGTAACTGATTTTGCAGTCCGTCTACTTTATCTTCCGTCATGTGTAATTGAACTTGTAATTCTTCAACTTCTCTTTGCGTGGATTCGCGTTCTTTCCAGAGTTCCTCTATTTTTAAATCAAGTTTCAGCTTTTCTTCATTAGCTTTCAACTTGGTTTCATCCAGCTTTGTTCTAAGACGATTTAATTCGTCACGCAATTGATTCGTATTATTACGTTCTTGTTCCGCGCGTGTTGCTGCCTCCCTTTTCACACGTTCCAAAGTATTCTTTTCTTCTTCTAATTCACGCATAATAGCGTTAATTTTTTCAATTAAAGCCTGTTGATCGTGATGAGCTGTAACAAATTATCAAACATTTTAAGATATGAACATGTATTAAAAACATATATTAATTCTTATAAAAACTCAATTAAAATTTAGTAAGAATACTTAATCATACATACCAATAAGAAGTGCCTGTTGTTTATCATTTTCGGCCCTAAGAAGTGCTTCCTCGTGCTGTTTGCATAAATTCTCTACATGTTGTTGCAATTCTTCTATTCTCTGTTGCAGTTGATTAATTTCTTCATTTTTTTCTCCTTCCAATTGTAACACGGACTGTTGCAACCGTTTCTCTAAACTTATTCTTACTTGCTCCTTATAAAGATAAGATGTAGAAGAATGGACAAAAAAGTGAAAACATATTTAATAACTCGATATACAATATATTCATGTATTAATTAGAATTAATAGTAATATATTAGAGATGGAAAAATTATGTAAAGAAGTGAATAAGAAAGTACCTTTTCATCAGTCATTTTCTTCATATTATCCTCAGACTGTTTCTTCATATTCGATATAATTTGTTGAAATTCTGCCATTTGATCACCACTCTGTTGTGTAAGTGATTGTTTCATATCTTGCGCACGTTTTTCACTGTTTTCTAATTCTTTTGTTAATCGTGTCACTTGTCCTTTTAAGCTTTCTTGTTTAATTAACGTTTCTTTTTGCTCTTTTTCCAACTGTGTCTTCTTGACATGTGTAGCTTCCAAATTAGTTTGTGTATCAAACAGTACTCCTTCTAATATTTCTTTTTCAGTTCGCATTGATGCAAGTTGCTCTTGCATCCTTTGAATTTCTTTCTCATTTGTTTCTAAAAGCACCTATAAAAACAAAAAGATTACTTTATTTCTATAATAATACATCAGAGAAAGATATACAATATTCATATAAATAATTCCATTCTTACCTGTTTCTCCTCATTATCTTTTACAAGATCTTTCAAATTTCTATTTATTCGTGCATTCATTTCATTGGATTGTTCTAGTCTTTGTCTAAGTCTCATAAGTTCTTCATTCAATGTTTCCTTCTTTCGCGCCAAAACCGACAGTTGATTACTCAAATCACTACGTTCACGACTCACTTGGCCCAATTCTATCTCGACTTTCTCCTTTTCTATCTCCAAAAATTTAATTTTCTCATTCAACGTAACTTTTTCAGATTCTATGTCAAGCCTAGTTTGTTCAGCTTGCAATAATTCTTTTCTCAGTGAATTTAAATCCCCTTGTTGATCGATACATTGACTCGCAAGTTTATTTTTCTCATCAGTCATCTACAACAAGTATAATTATAATTAACATGAAGATATATATATATATATATATATATATATATATATATATATATTACTGCTAAGATAATATTAAATTTGGATTACTTTTTTTAATTCTTCTTGCAATTTCTGTTTATCCTGTTCGTGATTAGAGCACATTGCTTCCAACTTTATCAAAATTTCTTGTACATCTGACTTTTCCAATAATATTCGTTCCAATTCCAATTCAAGATCACCTGAATTATTTTATGTAACATGTATACAACTTATCAAAGATTATATATATTTGTAAGAATATAAGATACCTTTATTTTTTTCAATTTGAGAGATTAATCCATCAGTTTCCAGTTTTTGTTGTTCCAACATATCTTTGGCAAGATAAGCTTTATTTAAATCTTCTCGTAGCGTCAAAAGTTCTTCTCGCATTTTACTACATCTATCCTCCTCTGATCGTAAATTCAGTTCTCTACAAATTATTTTGTAACAAATATATTTGGTCTCGTTTATAAATAATTTGGTAGAATTAAAACGTGATTTATACAATATATAACTAATAATTTATTTACTTTAAATCAGCATCCTCTGATACTCTACTAAGCTCGTTTTGCAAATATAATTTTTCATCTTCTAGATTGTCACATAATTTTTGTAATTTATTATTGGTCTTTTGAAGTTTTTCATAATTATTTTTAAGAGCTTCTAGCTGTAACGTAAATGCCAATTAATAATTATATTCTATTAATAGTCGTGTAGAAGAAATTGATTAATACTTTAAATCTTACCATACTATTGAGCTCCATTTTATTTTTATCCAATGCATTTTTCTCCAATTTTACAGTGTCAAGACTTTTCTGCAACATCTCTTTCTCTTGATTTAACTGTGTACATTGCGAACGACACGAATCCAATTGAGATATTAATTCTGCCACTTTTGTATTTAGTGTCTGAGCGTTTGTCTCTGCGGTATCCCATTGCTTGCGCATTGTTAAAAGCTGTTCCTTGTTGGTTTGCAATTTTATCTAAATTACAGAAAGCATTTGTAAACATTTGTAATTAATATGTGGAATATATATTTCTTTTTATATGATACATATACCTGTAATTCGCGTATAGTTAATTGATATTTCTGTAGAGCTGCTCGTACTGCGCTTATAGTACTCTCAGCAAGTGCTGGTATAGCAATGTTTCTCGCGCTCCTTTTCGGTGATCTTTGCGAAATTTGTCCACCGGATGATAAATGAATATGCGAAGGTGCCTGCTTTACATCGACGTCCCGAGATTCGGCATCTTGAATCACAGCATGCGCGATATCTCTTAATGCAGATTCTAATACTTCGATATCCTCTTGCATACGCGCAGTTTGAGTCACTGCTGCTTCAGAAATTCCACATCTTTCTTCCTGTATACATAAGAAAATATATATAAGTTTAAATAAAATTAATTAATTAAATTAGATTTGAAATAGGATAAATTGATATCTACTAAATTGCGAATTTCTCGAATAAACTGATCTATCCGATCGTCTTTTGTGCGAATTTCATGCTGATCAGCAGCGTGTTGTTGCTTAAGTGCTGCAATTTCTGTTTTCAAAACAGTTACAGCTTGTTCTTCCTCCTCTTGTTGTATTCTTTGGGATGGCTGAAAATAAAGCAGAAGAAGAAAGTATAATATATCAATATAAAATATCAATAGAACAAAATTATAGATAGAAATATAAATTGTTATTAATATTTGTTATTATAAAATGATTTTATACTGTTGATTGTACTGCAGTTGCTTGTAGTTTCATAGTAAAACTTATACTATTGCATGCTGATGTCATTTCATTAGATGAAGAAGTAATTTCGTTCCGCAATTTAGACAAATCTCGTTCTGTAGCAGATTTCATTTCTGCAAACAATCTTTTAACAGACACGACATCACGCCATAGGTTCAATAATCTGTTGTGCTCGGAGATGTAATATTCATTGAATGCCTGTTCCTCTTCCTTCCATTCATCTTCCTTAATAGCCAACTCCTCACGCAATATATCCCAATCATTGCTTAATTTCTGCAAATCAGTAGTTAACGCTTCATTTGTTTGATGAGACTCTTCCAGTTGATCTTTCAGAGATGAGTTTAGTTGCAAAAGTTCTTCACATCTGTGGCAGAGAAAAGCATCTTTATAAAATGAAATATAATTTATATATTTGTTAATCAAAGGACATATAGAGCTTAATATGTTAATTTATGTTGTATTTCCTCATACTTTCGTCGTTCCTCTCCAAGTTTTTGTAAGGCAGTGTCCAAATCATGAATTTGCTCCTCGCGTATATCCCTGAGTGTCTGATGAGCAGCCTCTAATGCAGAAGTAGATGATACCGCAGCAGTTGCTGCAGTTGGTTTAGTAGTATCACAAGGCACTGTTTCTGCCATTTGATTTTCCAATTCTGAACATCTCTGTTTGTACTGCAAAACCTAAAATATATCTTTAATTATTATTTATTGTTAACAATTTATCATTTATTAACAAACTTTGTTATAAATCAATTTACAGTTTTCTTAGTAAAGAGAATTTACAGTATTTACTTTAGCTTGTAAACGTGAGACAAGAGCAGCTTGATGTTGTTGAGCCTGCCGATAAGTGTCCAAACGTCTCTTATAACTTGCAGCCTCCTGTTCCAAACGATGACGGAGTTCATAATTTTGTCTAACCAAAGCATCCGGTGACAGATCTTCATCGCTACCCTGTTCTTCTATAGCACCCCCGCTACGTGCAGAATCCATCTTTGTTCCACTGCCTCGTTCTGTCTATAAATGTATAATTTTCTAATTTACTTCACTGCTGTGTAATCATATCCTGCTTTTTTCTTTAAAGAGTTAAATATTTTATATTTTATTACCACAATAACATTTCTCCAATTTTGCCTAATATGATATCAATGAAAATGACAAAAACTGAATGTGCAAGATGAAACAATTCTTATTGGGAAATCATTCTAATTCTTTTTTATTAAAATATAAATTTTTATTATATGTTTTAAAAACTAATTTCATGACGAAGATATGCGATAATTTATTCCAGTTCCAAGTTATTATTAATGTTGATATGCATAAGTATCATATGGATAAGAAGTACAAATCTGATAAACATAGGAAACAGACATGTTCTATCATCAAAAATAAACATTACAAACATATGCATTTTTTCTATTTATTTATGTTTTTTCTCTATCGAGATTGCTTCCAATGCGAGAAATTTATCTAGCATATGTACATTTTCCACATTTATAAATTTCTGCTTATATTAATTTCCCTGTCTCTACAATAAAATCATACACCACCCTAAACATTATTATTTTTCTTTTTTTTGGTTAGGATTCTGTTTATTATTTGCTGTAGGTTGCCATGACAATCTGATGACGTCACATTCATTGAACCGCTCCTTATGAATCACATAGATTGAACGCGTTTTTTTTACGCATATTATATCACAAAATGGCGTAGAACAAAACATTTCTGAATCTATGAATTGACAAAATATGAAATTCTTTTCAAAAAATTAACTTTAATTTATAATATAGAGAATTTGTTAATTAAAAAAATTTTAATCTTTTAAACATCAAATTCTTATCTTTTGATATTTCTTTCTGTTTCAATTTTATTTTAAATTAATATTTTATATATAAATCGATGTTTTTATAAATTTAATTTTTTTTTACCTCCTTGGCTTTGCTAGAAGCTCTGAGAAACGGTGGCCGCCGCCTCTCCATCTGTCCCCGTGCCGACAATTGAGATGTTCCTTTCGAAACTGGCTGCAACATATATAATTTTGATTTGATCATATAATTTGAATATAATATTCTCTTTTTTCTATTGAAGGAAAAAACATATTTGTAAGCATTTTTTAAATATATTATCATGATTTTTTAATATATTATATTTTAATTTATATATATTATTTATTTAAGTGATACGTTTCTGTTATACATATACATACAAAGCTTTGTGATACGTTTCTGTTATAACATATATATGCATACAAAGCTTTGTATATATAATTAATATTTGATTCCCAATTTCTAGCAAATTATCTCTTCGCTAATTTTATCACAATTATCTCTGGCTGTAGAAATAATACTCTGTTTAAAGATAATTTAAGCGCAGATTAAAACCATTAAACAGTGAAACAACACGATTAATCTGCTTTTATCGAGATTCTTTTTTTTTTAGATCTTTATAGTTGAACCTGACTCCGCTGAAAGAAAGACATTCTAAATTTGCTTATAATTATATAATAGGTCAGCTTGTTGATTATACCGGTCTTTGCGTGAAACCGAAATACATTGTTATCATATTATGAAAACGAAACAAATTGGCGAAATAGAAATTCTGAATGCGTTTTGTGTGTTTTGTCTCCGCGTTTATATTTTTAACTCTTTGATTCATCAGGAAAATAGAATAACTGTTTTCCTAACGATCGTTTATAATTATATCGTTTATAAAGTAGAATACTGGAAAATGTTCAATGATTATTTTTTTGTACGTGTATTAAATAATATCAAATAAATTTAAAAAAGAAGATTAGAAAATTTTATTTAGAAAATTATTTTATATTGCAGTAATTAATTCAATTTCGTTAAATTGATTGATTTTATCATGCAACAATAACGCATTAATTATATATAATCAATTGAAATAACTAATAATGATTACTATTGTTTTGAATAAATATATTATTAATTGAAAGGGCTGATGTCGATGTATATTCGCCAAATTAACGACACAGTTTATCTTTCGTATTTTATCATTAGTCTAGGTGTGTGAAATTCTCATATGGGATGATGATATCTGATATATAATCCCGTGAATTAAACGTGCTGCGAAATCATACACCGGAAATCGACACGTAGGATCGCATGAATTGACTGTTTCACCCACGCTTCGCACGACTAGTATCTATGGAAATCGGTTATTTACCTTTGCATGAATATATTGCAAAAATAGAATCTAAGGGTTTATTATCTGCTATATTTCACATAAATTTTAATAAAAAGGTATTTTTTAAATTAATTAAATGCCCGCTCTGAATCATAAGTTTTAGGGAAAAAAAATTACTTCAAAATCTCAATATAAAGTCAGTTTTAATAAGTATAAAAGAATGTATTAAGCATTGTAGTGCAACTAATAATATAAAAAAGATGCTCACATCAGATTCTCAAATACTTTTTCTTAGCAACGACTGCGATCTAGAATGAACATGCGAAATTTATTGAATGGTTAACATGGATGGAGTGTGCTTTTCAAGGATGATGTTATCCAATGGAAACTATAGTATATTGCCAATTCACGCGGCTAGTTTCAAATCATCGTGGCTACTTAAAATACAAAGGAAGTCTTTGCACGCGGAAGTCAAGCCAATGTATTCGGCAGTGATATTCTGAGCATATATCGATTGGTGCCATTCAGTGCCTGGTAGTAAGCTTGAGCTTCTTCACTTCCTATTCGCTCCCAGATGTCAGATACTAGAAGCCCTTTGCAGAAAAGGCAGGACGGATCCTTCGTACGGACTCACCGACTCGAGTTATACGTTTTGTTCAAAGAGCAGGATTCGATTTCTCGGAAAGGATTCTAGAAAATTTGCAAAAATTGGAAGAAAATCAGTTGTTCAAATTCTTCTTTTACGATTTGTATAATATTGAAAATTAATGCGAAAAAGAAAGAGAGAAAAATTGTGGACTTAAGATATAAAATCCTTAAAAAATTAAAACAGCTTTAATATTAAATATTAAATAAAGCAACATCCTTCTTCCTCTTTCATGCATTTTAAAAATATGTGAAAATATATTTCTTTTTTAGTATTATACAAAATGCACAGTAATAAGCATGTTTCATTACGTCATTTCGTTTATTAAAGACGCGGCATCTCTTAGTTGGACTTTGAAATCGACAATTTCACAGATAATTATATTTGTCACAAATGACAAATGAAGTGCGGAAATCGGTCAGATTCAAAGTACAGAATTTCGTTTTAGTATCAAACGCCGACCCAGACTTCATAAATGTCTTCATTTATTACGCATCGCACGATAGCGTATCTCATAGGCAACAGTGTGTTTTATAACGTATGTGCAAAAATAATTTTTTTCAAATCTATCATTCGCGATCCTCGTGCTAATCGATAGTCGCGTAAACTAAATTCTTTAATACGAGAAAATAAGTCTCAATCTTGTGGAACTTCTTAACGTAAAATTTCTGTCGCTAAGTCTCCATCGAGAAAAGGAGTCGAATATCAAACCGGATCAAGTCCGTCTGTCTGTATGTATCTGAGCGAGTTTTTACAGACTGTGACTTCATGGGTCAATGAGACTGTAATCGCTTTTCCCTCCCCTTTTCTAGCCTTGCATCCCGTCATGAGGGTTTTTAACAGAATGTGGGGGAGTCTATTTTTTTTCCATCGACGGAACAAAGATCATCGAGAGAACGATATCCATTTCGAGAAATTTTGGAAAAGATGTTAGGGCACTTTTCTTACATTACAAAATTCTAACGATATAATTCGAAGATGTGGACTTCGAATTAATCGCGAAGAAAATAATTATTAAAAAACGAAATTATATACACGTCTTTAATCATTGTGTCCTCCCCCTTCCTTCCGTGAAGGAATTCGCGTCAAACGCCCAGATATATTCGCGATTATAGTTTCATAAAGGATGCTTATTTTTGCCTTTGATCATATATGCAGACCAATTTGCGTTTTGTATATACATATGTGTCGTGAATTTTATTAAGATTAGACCATTATTATCATAAAACTGGAAACTGAAGGGGTTATTCTTCCTGATAACATTTCTCGATGGCATTATCATTTGTGACATTCGAGAAAAAATATTGCAAGAATTTGAGATTAGAAAGAAAATCTTTACGTTGCATTCTATAAATCAGATTCATCATGCGCAAAACGTGATTTGTTGCATGCTAAGTGTTTTCATAACAACGATACATGGATTTGTCGATAATGAATGTTTCAAAACACACGTAATACGCAATTTTTATCCGATACGTTCTCATAATTAATTTTGTTCATTTGTAAAAATTTATTATTTATTTATTTCTCACAAGTTCTGATATTGATGCATTACGTAATTTTGCAATTTTAAATTATAAAATTGAGAAAGAATCAAGAAAATACCCGTGCTTTTTACATACATAAATAACCGCGATCAATGTCCAATGATTAAGATTCCAAGTCTAATGTGTTAAAATGATATCATGTAAATACCAGACGTTAATCACATATTCAAACATAAGATTGTAAGAAATGGAAAGTTATAAAAAAACGAATTACACAACGCTACATATATGTGGAAAATCAAAGATATTTGTTTGACTCGAATATCGCTTAAATGTGTTAAAATGATATCATGTAAATATCAGACGTTAATCACATATTCAAACATAAGAAATGGAAAGTTAAAAAAAAAACGAATTACACAACACTACATATATGTGGAAAATGAAAGATATTTGTTTGACTCGAATATCGATTAAAACGTTGCATCAACATGGTTGATACAATTATATAACGATAATGAACATTGCCCGCGACGATTTAAATCGCAGCATTTTCGTATAAATTATGCAACATACACATATTGCGAGGACGGATTTTACGATCCATTTTAAACTAGAGTGCAACTCTATTTATCGCAAAGAAAAGTTTCTCTTAGAAATCTATGAGATCTATGAGATCTATGAAATCAATTATCGGAATTTTGTGAGGGATGAGAAGAATATATCTCTCTTTTTTTCTTTCAGTCTTTCTTTCTCGTTATTACAAAAGAAATTGTACATTCATTATATACATTGTCGTGTATCGATCAATTTACTTCGTGATGATTAATGTCGGCACACGTGAGTTAAAATACGCACTAGGGGGGTTGCATTTCATGTATTACATGCGTAACTTGCGACATATGTCGCATATTTACTTCATCATCATCGTTAGTCAAACACGGTTCGAAATCTCTTTACAAATTTATTCGTAAAATGCGAGTCACGTTGATAATAAATAATATTTATACAAATTTTATTTTATTTTATTGACATTCAAGAGCTTTAATCTTATCCGATAAAAGAAAAATGTTTACTATTAATATGCGTTAATGAGTAATTATGTACGACGATTTAACATGTGAAATGCAATTACAAGTCGAAATCTATTTGAATCTATCAAGAGATGAATAAATATATCATACAGAATAGACAGAATAAACAAAGTATTGATTTTACAATATAATCTGAGTGCATAATCGATTAAAATTATAAATAAATATTTTCTAAAACCGTCTTTGCTTTATTCTATTTCTATAGAAAATATAACGTAGTGGACACGTGGCTAGTGAGTGAGGTTGCGACACGTGACAGAATGAACCCTATGTCCTCATGAATAGATTATTATGATTTTACGTTGACACCCCGAATGCGTCATAGCCTGTGAAGGGGTTCAATTTTCTTTTACAATATGTATTAAATTGATATATATATTTTTTTTTTGTATTTATTGCAGTAGTTATCATTATCAAAACAATCACTGTTTTGTCGCGGAAGTCCAATATATATTTTTCCTGATTAAAAAGAAATTTTTCAAGATTCTCTGTCAACAATTTTTGGATTCTAAAGTTTACTTGAAACAAAATTTAATGGGAAAAATGATAGATACTATATTCTTCATTCATATTTACATATTTCTTAAACGAATGAATGAAGAACCATTTTAATAATTATTTATATTATTTAATTATATATCATGTAATGTGGCATAATAAATAATAATTATATGTATGTGATAAATAATTTTAAGGAACGGAGAAAAGTTATATGATAATAATAACTTTTATTAATTTCTAGAACTAATCAGCTTTCACATTTATTAATTGCATCGCGTGAATGTTGGGATCCCTTTTCCGTAAAATCGATGTTTGAGGTAATAAAAGGAGTCAATCAACTCGCAACGTGGAACTAGTTACCGATGTTACTAACGATTTCATTTCTACGCGAGAATTAACTAACCCTTACGGGGGCTAATTCCTTGTTTGAAGACTTTGTCGATCAATTGTGCGATAAGAGCGTCATACGCAATTAGGTATTGAGAATTGATACTTCTATTCTATTTGAAAATTGATATATAATTGAGACTCTAATCTCTTTCTTTTTCTTATTTTTTTAAGAAATTTAATCGATGATGGATTTTTAATCGATAATAGATATAGAATTTTCTGTATTCTCGATGATACATAAGAAAGTGCTAGCAATTAACTGTAGTAGGGATTGTCATTAACAATATTCCTGATAACTTTAAAAAAATTCATGGCTAAATTTTTTTGTGAATGTAATGTTAATTACTTTGAATATCTTTGTTAAAATATTGATGTAACATGTTAAAATCGCTTTTACTATATAACATATATAACATATGTTAGGATATATATTTTTTGTGTAATTATGAATTGAACACTGGATATCATAAAGCGTAAAGTTGAGAAAATACGAGATATTATTATTAGATTAGTTTATCTGTTTTATGATAAATGCATTTATTAGGAGCACAATATCTTCCTTTTTTTTAATTGTCATAACATTTATTTGTGCATACATTACATACACACAATGCTTTATTCATAAAAGCAAAGTAATTATTGTAAAAACGATTTTATATCATGATGTAATAATCTTTCTACTTTTCGCTTTTTTTTCTTGTATCCCCTAAAATCCAAAAAAGAAGATACTCATTTATTTATTATATTTATATATATAACATTTATTTATTTTATATATTTATTGTAAAAGAAAATCAGTTAAGACGATTAAGATGTAACAATATAAATCTCCTTCAATTCAGTATATTTTATTTACGTACTAAATATCTTGATGTGCGCGAAATGATTTCTGACATAATATTATAAAAGCGTTCTTACAATATATATTTTCTATTATTTAAATACGAATTAAATATTAATTAAATAATCAATTTCGCATGCTATAATAATCGTTGATATTAAAATAAAAAAAACTGGTATACTCACCCGCGGCATTTTTATATGTTCTCTCTATCCGAATTGTGATGCTTCTAGGAGATGGGAAGCGGAATGCTTGTCTTCGGCGATGAAGGAGATAGATGGTTGGCGGCGATACAGTTTCCTCAGGGCTTCTCGACGGTAGCCACGGCCCAAACGGCGGGGGTGCTTGCGTTCGCCACGAACGGTCGGCCTTCACTGAAGCGTCGTCGACATCGGCGTCGCGACGCTTCTACCGTTCATCCCCGGGGGATACCACCACCTCGTGGAGGGTGGGAAGGATGATCGCGTGCCGTGAACGCCTGCCTAAACGCGGTCCCCGCAAGTTAGAGGAGCGTAGGAGGAAGAGAGGGATGGTGAGTATCTTACACGAGGCTATCCTATCACCCCCTATGCGCCGCGTGAACATTCGCGGCGCCGCGCAGCGTAAAACATCCCCAAACCAGGCATGTATTTATCATACTTGCTTGCGTGTAAATGTAATATTTACTTTCGTATATAAATTTCAGGATTATTACATAGTTGTGTTATGTAATTTCGTGTGTTTTTTGAAAGGACGTGATGATTTCAGGTAACTTTGAGATTGAAATAGGTCGAAGAGAGCGCATAATGAATGATTGATAGGTTTTTGATAAATAATTGCTTATTATAATCGTGAAAGAAATTATTTTACATAATAAACATGATTGTTTCTTCTGTGAAATAATTGTATGAGAAAAATTGTTAAAATTGAGGCAAAAAATGAGAAAGAATTATTAATAATAATTAGCATATATCTCTATATATACTATATATATTTAATTAATGTGTGAAAAATATGTGAAAAAATAAAATTTTTTAACTTACAAAAATAGACATAACATTAATTGACGATATAATAATTTATATAATATTTTGTAATTATATGTCGCTATATAAAATTACATATTTGCAGATATTATATCAATATAATTGCAATTATATATTCATCGGCTATTGTATTTCTCTAAATGAAAGAATTAAATTCAAAGCTTAAGATATCGGAACTGTCTCTGACAAACGATGAGGAAATGATCCCGAAAGCCGCTCGACACGCTCAAACCACTAGCCGATCAAACTTTTTCGTAATTGCCCGAAGGAACGACGGATATCGTTTCGCATGTTCGACCACGTAATTATTTCCTGCACGCAGGGAAAATATATATTTCTTTCCTACTCGGTCTCTCGATGGCGGCAATCCGCGGATGGTACCCCCGTTAGTTCGTATTATGCTTTTCCAATCTAGAGGAGGTGGTTCCCGCACCTTTCCACGTGGAACCCGACGCGAGCTTATCGCTACGGTCACGTTAGTCTGGTTTTGGAATTTGGCCTACAATGGATATATAGGTTACATGGCACTGCGCCTGTTTGATAACGATAAACCCCTTCTCAATCCCTGATAAATCCGTTTTTAAATCGTTCAATCATTTTGCACCAATTTTAGCTTAATTACATGGATTGTATGAAGATTAATTATTGTTTGGCAATTTTTTTAAATTGATTTTTTTTTTTTCGAAAATAAAGCCATGCAAAAAATCTTTACCCTATTCTATCTATTTTCTAATTTGTTTTATCTAGAATTATCATCTTTTCTTAATTATGAATTTATTACATTAAAATGTGGCCTAATTATACATTTAATTATGTAAAATAAATGTACAATTATTACAGAAAACTTATTATTTAGGCTTACATTTATATTTTCATCAAGTTATTTTTATCAAAAATAATATAGAAGATAGGGAGAGAGGGACAGTGGGACACAAATTTATTATCGGACTCTTTTATTTCATGTTACGAGTCGTTTCTGTCCGCATATTATTGGAACACGCGAAGGGTTAACGTCCTAAATTACAATAGTGGTAAATCTTCGGATTTATTCCACGGACGCGACAGCGTCAATCGAGGATTGTAGCGGTACACAAATTATGATAGTAATTGAGACAAATAAATCGAAACGCGTGCCATTTAATGTTTCCATTGTGATACATGTATCGGTTTACCATATATACCATTTATTGTTAATTAAAGTTTTCTTTCCATATAACTATAGATATTTTTTAATTCCAATGAAACATATATATTACACACTATTACAGTTTTAAATTTTTTATGAAAATATATCTTATAACAATGTTAATAAAAAGAACTCACAAATAGATTAAATGTCTATAAAGAATGAGAGAGAAGATTAAATACGATTAATTTACGAAAGTTTTTGAGAGAATAATTATCGAGATAGTGAACTTCTCAAAGGCTGTCCGTAAACGAAGACTCTGTAGTGAAAACCCCGCGAATATTTCGATCTGAATTTTAGCTTGACAAAGTTGTATCCGATTCCGCCGGAAGCGATCCATATCGCGCTGTTATCTTCGTCAGACAACGAGTTGTATCTTATGCATGTGATTCTCACATTCGTCGGACCGTAATCCGCCTCTACTTCCTGGTTACAATCGAAAAAAATAATCGTGAATACATCGATAAAAAAAACTGTCAATAACGGACACGTGTTAAGGAGAAAAAGCGTCGAAAAAAATACGATGTTGTTGAAAAAAATCAGAAAAAAATTCAGCGACTCGACAAGATTCCACAAGGATGCGATGTGATAATCGAAAACGCACTTGATAACCATCGATTCGATGCGGCCTTCTGACGTCATACTCCCAGATCAGCTCGTTGTCGTCGACATCCTTTTGACAGTTCTCGACTTGTCGCGCGATCGCAAGCGAGACAGCGCAGAGAAGCAGAAGCATCGACGTTCGGAACCGCATGTCTCCTTTTAATTTTCTTCGCCACCGGGAGATACGCCACGAGAAGAGAATAATACAATTACAATTAAGTAAAGAGACCAACTATTGAAATAGAATGTGCGATAAATATTCTTTACTCGGTGCGATCTTTTCGGGTATTTTCGGGAAAAGGCAGCGCGTTTATATATCGTTGAGCAACCAAAGACTCCGAATAACACTAACTGAAGCGAATGATATTAATAGCCGATACATCGACTCACATCGAAAGTATCCCCTTCAGGGATATAATATTTATTCGTCGCGTTGCATACATTTTGCCGGGGAGATTAGATACAACGGTGGTATATCGTGCAACCGAGCGAGGTTGTTGCTTTGGCCGTGGGCTTTCAAGGCGAAAGATAGAGAGAGAATAAGAGAGAGCAGATATCGACGAGGAGTCTTCTTCCCCATTACGTAACACACGTCCAAATTGGACGTGTGCATCATGAATTCCGTGACGAGCGCTCGAAATGATTAAGCTCGAAAGCTACAAGTACGCAAATGATCGCACGTCTGCGATTAGACTAGTTAGACAACTTCGATTGTACACCCTTTATGCTGTTTACAAATTTTCACGCAACTTTTCCCAGAATTAAATAAACTATTTAATTATTACGTTATTCAGATTGCAGTATTTATCGAATAAAATTATAAAAATAGTATACTAGTTTATAAAAATAATATTGTGACATAAAAATAATAAATCTTGCGATAAAATTATGTAAAAAATTTGCACGAATGATATAATTGTCTTTAAATATTTTATGAAAAATTTTTATATCCTAATTGCAATGTCTTCTTCTAAAAATATTTAAAGAAGAAAAGTCATTGATGAATGTACAATATCAAATACGGCATGTTTCATAATATTTTTGACCGATAATACCTTTATTTCCAGGAATGCGATTAAAAACGATAATGTAATCGAAATAATGACGCAAAATCAGTCTTGCCTAATTCCATCGACAAATATCATTTCTGCAAGTTGTATCGCACCTCTTCATTATATTTATTCTGTTTATGTAAAACTGGCACCTTATCTATTCGACAAATTCGTAAAACTGTGTAGGGTATTTGTTCAGAAGGCTAAGAGTAGAAAGAAAAAGAGCTTTACAGTTTTTTTTAATATCAATAATATAAATTAAATTTTATTTTTAAACTATTTAGCTGTTGTATATGAATAATAAATAGAGATAATATATTTAAATCAATTATTAATAATTTATTATTGTAAATATTTATCTTTTGTAAATATATATAAAATGATTTCAATAATTATATAATTATTTTAATATACAATTGTTATATTATCAGCAATAAATTATAAGCAATCGGCAATAAAGATTTGTCTCTCTTTCGATTTCGATTTTTATTGCCAATTACATTTGTTGATGATTTGTTAGTGATAAGCAATTGCATACTAATATAATTATGTAATTATTAAAATTACTTTAAACAATATTACATGATATTTAATAAAAGTTGATGAATTAGCTATATATGCCAAAAGATGTGAATCGTAATCGATATTTATATTTTGCATAAAACTCAAAGCGTCTCTTTCGGTTTTAGATGGTGTGAAAAGAGCAATGCTCCGGACACGAAGAAAGGATGTGCATTGAATCGTAAAATATTATTGCCACCAGCGAATGGCAGCAAGGAATGTGTGGCTGGCGGTAACTAGACCATCGCTATGCCACCAACCAGGTGAATCGGTTCCCACAATGTCGTGCCTGGAACCACGCGGTTCACTCATTGCCTAAGGAAACGACTTTACTTCTTGTTCCACGGCGCTAAACTAAGTTAGTAACTTTCAGGTCCTTTTACTTTTACGATTCATTACAGCGGGAGATCGACTCTGTCAAAATTATTATTATTTTAGCAAGAATGAAAGCATATCATTATACACATATTGTGTCGAATAACTCAGTCTCAAGTATAGAAACAGGTACAAAAGTGTCGGCGAATCACTGCGCGAATGAATCGCTCACGTAGGTCTATGGAGAAAGATAGACGCCTTTATCGCGTGTCTCTCCCGAAGGAGAGTAAAAAATAAGAGAAGGGAACCGGCGTTTATATCGATTTATTTTACTGCCCGTCGTCAAGGAACTGCATTTCAATATTATCGCATGATAACGTTACGTTACACACTTTATTACCGCCGTTGTCCAAATCTCTCCGCGACTCTTGCTCAGCAAAAAAAAGAAAAAGATACAAACAACTCATATTTCCGTCACCGCTCATTTTGTGTTAAAATATAAGATATACATATATTTTATAAAGAATAGCTATTAATATATAATACTTTTGTAAGAACGTTAGACCAATTGCGATAAATTCCACGTTTCTATTTCACGTTTTAGAAAATACGATTATTTGAATAAAAGACGAAAGTATTTAAGAGTTTAAGTTTGCTTCATTTTCAAAAGAAGAGACTCATGTTGATCTTAGAAAATTTTCTTGTCAAAATTTCTTTCCATTCGGAAGTAACATGTTGTATGTAATTTTCTTTCGTTTTACTACATGTTTATTATACATATCAATCGCTCTTGGTTTCATCTTGGCTAGTATGATTTTCGATGTGCGGCACGTGGAGGAATCGTCTACGATAAAACTATCGTCAGACAATTTTTGCACACATCCCGTTTTATCAGGCTAAAGATTTTCACTGACTTGCTACACATTTCCATGTTTTTATTTATAATTTTTTTTAGATCGATAAAAAAGGGAATTTTCCGATCATTTTCATCGATTTTTGAATTTAGATATCCTTAATCAGATTCATAATAGCTCCAGTTACACTGAATGTAAAAGTTTGGAGAATATAGCAAAAGAAAAAATTGCAACTACATAAAATATTATTTTTTTAAGGAATGAATATAATGAAATTATTTATTTATTGCTGTAGAATCTGCTAAATCAAAAGAATAATTGATTGATTATTCAGTAATATTGACGCGGATATTTATCTTCTCGAAGAATAAAACGGTCGGGTACATTTAGAAGAAGAAAGAGAAAAAAGCAGCGAACCGATTTCTTTCTCTGTCTTTCTCCTTCTTTTTCCACGAACTGGCGACCCCGAGCTGTCAAAGTCCGTCAACATATGTTTGCCCCTGGGTCATCTATAAACGAGGCATTATTTACAGCTTACGCGTACGCATTCGCATTGCGAAAAGATTACAAGTTTCACCAATTAACCAGCAACTCTTTTGCGAAACGTATGCTTATGTTGCGCAAGCAAACAATGCGAATGATCGAATAATACGATTGCAATGATGCTCGACATGATCATCATTTACTTTGTCATATATCGGATCGGAAGATACATACACAAAGATATAACAATATCTCTTTGTTTTTAAAAAATACTTTTTTTTATTATAAAAATGCCGTCAATAGTAAATAAATAGTAGTACTGTAAAAGATTATAAATGCTGTTTATGCAGATTTTTATTTTTAGTTCTTATAGTTTTCTTTATATTAAGATCGGCAACTAATCTTCATGTGAGCATGTTACATTTTATATTTGACAAATCAACGAAGGACAGAAAATCAGTATATATTAGTTGCAAAATGTATTACAATGATTATTATGATTTGAAAACATGTAATTGACATGATTCAAAATCACGAGAATATTTCTTTGAACACACATGAGTATTTTTTTTTAAACATTTATTAGCGAAAGCTAACTAATGATGCTTATTGTATTATTATCAAAAATAATATAGATTACGTGGATTTTGCGAAATATGTCGAAAAATTTTTTACAATAAAAAGTCACATAATTCAAAATACGTGGAATATATTAAGTGATCGAGATCTTGATTGCTTGTTAATCTTTTCGATATTGTATTTCGATATGCTCAAAAACGTTTAAAAGTTTTGTATTGAGAATGAAAAATATAATAAATAAATATTTGTTTTGTCAAATTAATTGATAATAATTTAAATAAATTATTTCAAGGATAGATACGAGTCAATTATGAAAATCTTTAAATTTAATTTATTGCAAAAATATCAAAATGCGTTAAAAATTTACGATAAGTTTTTATAATTTTTTTCGTATATAAAAGCAAAAAAAAAACGATATCGAAAGGGTTAAACTCCTACTTACAAAACATGAATTAAGAAATCAAACATTTATATCTCGCTTTTGTTGATCTAAAAAAAACTTATATAAATAGTATTGTTAATGGTATTAAATACGAATATCCTTTGCTATTACATATTTACGAGAACCACGATCGATTTTAATTGAGTAGAACCGAATGATAGAAAGTCTCAGATATTATTTTCTCCGATTTCATTTTTACTTAGACGATAGTCGCTTTAAAAGGTTAATGAAATATTATCTTTTTATTCTAATGTGATTCGCTGGCATCTTCAGGTAATCATTTTCTTCGTGAATAAATTAAATCAAAAAGATGAGATCTCTCAGAAACAAATCTAAAGGTACTCTCTCGATCGCAACCACGATTATGGTAAAATATAGCAAAGCGACATTATAGTTAAACGGATATTTTCGCTATTATTGTATAGATCTTTTTTTGCTTTGTGACAGTCTAGAAAAAGAGACAGAAATATATATCAATCGCGGCACAAAAGTCTCCCGTTTAGCATAATCGGTATTGATAGCATGCGATTTGCATATATGTTTTTTCGTCCGTATGCTCACGTTCCTCCTATCGAGCAAAGATGGTGACACGAAGAATCGATTGCGTCTTTTTAACCGATATAGCTGAACTTGACCCTTACACTTTTATTTTTAATTCGTTTAACACTTTTTCATCTCATTAAAATCATCGAACAAACGCGATGATCGGTGACACGAATAATTTGTCATCTCTTTTGAACGAATCTTTAGAGAAACTTATCAAGTACTCTTTGATTATGTCCTCCCTCTTCTTTCTATCTCGATGAGAGACTAGCATTACTACATTATGTAACATTATTTTCATTAATCAATAAGTGAAACGAGTATACTTGCATACATACACAACATATAAATTCTTTCTCTCTTTTTCTTTATCTCATACTCTCTATGCATCGTGTTTAATCATTAAAGATCATATTCATTTATGTTACAGTACGACGCAAGGGAATACGTAACTCTTTGCTGCCGATGAGATTTGAGCATGGAAAATTATGAATATCGCTTCGCCCCGATATCATTCTTCAATAAATAATATTACACTCTGCACAATCATTCACAAAAAAAAATAAGTACATCGGGATTTTTTCGTCCTCGGATCTCTCTTTGGCACATTCATTTCTTCTCAGGGATCAATGCTGCAGAGATTCAAACGCAGGAAATCTCTAATACACGAAGAGAATTTTTGTCGAGCTTTTTCAACAAGCTTGTTGAAGTTCTATTGTACCACTCCTAGAGGTGGATTATGTTGCGATCTGATGACTCCGGCGACGCGTCTAAAAGGCAATTGAAGATGATAATAGGCACAATAAGGTAAAGGATCCCAGTACACGAAGAGGGACTCCTTCTTGTCCAGCATCGTGCCCAAGAGATGAGGCTCCGTCTGATCACTGAACGCCGGTTGTTTGAAAGCGCTAGTCAAGGTATCGGATAGCGATTGCCTGTCCAATGAACCTGATCTAACCGCTGAATTTTGTCTGGAAAAGTGACGACAGGGTTTCCACACTAGGCGCGGATGTATTCCCGTATGACAGACGTAGGGCAGACTCACACCTACGCGACAACCTATGGGCACTAGCTCGCCCTCCTGCGACATCGCCAGCTGGAAGCTCACATGACCGTTGGTTCTGCCACCAAAGGAACGTGCAAAGAATCGTTCGAGCCACCGTGTGATCTCGGGACATTCCTCGGGTATGAGTCCACCATGATTCTCGTCCACCCGACACGTCACGTTGGCCACGATTCGCGATTCCTTTAGCGTGGTACACGTGATGAAATGATCTCCATCGGGATCGCGAATTATCACCCAAGGTCGCCTGTCGCTGATCTCGTTTTGTCGTTGGTTTCTCAATTCCCGAACGGTAGGTGGTAACAAAATCTTGGCTCGGTCGCGCATTCCAGCAGGACCGGCGGCTAGCATCATATACCTGCCGGTACGAAACGCGTTTCGCTCATAGAGTTGGAACAGGTCTTGCTGTGATCGCAGCAGAAAGTGCTGCGGAATCGGAAGACCGAACTGACGACAACGTCGCAGCAATTCCAACGGATCATCCAGCGCGGTTACCTCGCTAGTATCGGGCACGAAACACTCGCAACCCATAGTCTCGAGATGTGGTTTCGCTAGGGCATCGTAATAAGCGATACTGGCGGCACTCACTGGTATGTAGTAAGCCACCTTTTCGCGTTCAACTATATCTCGCAACGCTTTTATGTATTCGACAACATTTCTAGGTCCAGGTCGCGGTATCGTATAAAACTTGGAACAGGCGGTGGAGAATCTGGCCAGGCCAAAGAGACCGTCAAGCTCGCACACCACTACCCGGGCCCCTGCCTTATAGAAGTTACGCGCTAGATGTACCGCTTGCACCGTACTACCGCCACTGATGAGCACACATCGTTTATTGCGTGATCTTTCATATGCCGGAGTGTGCAGCACAGTGATGAACCATTTAAGGATGATGAGCGGAAGCTGCAAAATTACCCAGAATAGGCAGATCCAGGCCGATGCCCATAAAGCGGGTGCCCAGATCACGTAACTGATGGTGTTGAAGATACTCCGAAGAATGCCCGACAACAGACCAAAGTACCAAAACAGGATCCAGGATAGTAAGTTTCGCTTGATGTTGCTCCGATCTTGATGGATCATCGACTGTTGCTGTTGTTGTCGTCTCTGGGAGATTATTACCGTTGGCATATTCGAGAGCGATGATACTCGGGAAAGGCTAGCTGGCGGCGCGTTGGATGTCGAAACGAGTATATTCGATGTCGAACGTTTCATCGTGAACACGGGTGATGACATCCGGGGTGGCGATGTGGACAACGGTGAAACAGTTGTTAGCGGTGGTGATGCGCTGTTGCTTCGCGACATTGGCGGGCTAGTTGACCATAATGTTGAGGTATTCTCGCTCGAACAAGTGGGCATTTTTATTTTTTTTTTCCGTTCGATTTTGCCTTAAAAACCCTTCTTCAGAGAAAAGAGGGTTTTACGAGTAAAGGGCCGAACTGATTTGTAGAATCCTTATACGCAAGACTCATATCTCTTGAGATTTTGAGAAATAACCGGTTGATTATTTCAATCAAGAAGAAAAAAAATACGAATGAGACGAAAAGGATGCAAATTTCTTCGTGAAGGATCAATCATTGCGTACTATCTGAGATTTTTGAACGGATTGTCGCGAATGCAGTTTTCACCGGTAGCGAAAGGAACGATCCGGGATGCCGTAACATAACACACAAATGCAGCAGATTGCGGAGAAGCGACGTCCGTTAAATCTGCATACACAGCTTTAACTGAGGCTGGGCTTTGGTCATCCCGGTCTCTTATGAGCTTTGCATCTCGAACGTACTATGAACTGAACCCTTATCTAATCATCATGCTTCAGACAGCGACGAAAAGAAAAAAATTGCAAAAATATGCTGTGTCTGTACTCTTGTTTTCTCTTTTTATTTAAATTAATTTTATGACAGAAAACTGATAAATTTGTTCAAAAATTAATTGCTCATCTGATTTATGTATCGATAAATAATTTAATTTATCTAAACATCAAGAAGATATTGTACACGCTGTTATAGATTATGAGACATATAGTGGGCATTTATTCATCAAATTGTTATCGATTGTTTAATCAGATAATCGTTTGATTCATTGATTGTCGTATATCTAATGTCTCCAATCTTAATTCATAGTGAATTGGTACTAATATTTTGTCTTAAGAATGTTATTTTAATAATGCATCTCTCTAATCTGCAAAAAATAAATGTCCAATCGAATAATTGTTATTTCGATAAAATGTTATAAAAAATAAAGATAGTCAAATATTATTCTCTTTCCTTGGAATAATTGTGATATTCAAAATATGATATTAATACTTTCTAGCACATACAGAAGACACGAACTACTACAAAATGTATAAAATACTGTTGTAGAATACTGCAAGCAAGCATCGAAATGAATGTCATCTACCAAGTATATAATGTTATTCTCAATATATTAATAACATTGCATCGGTATCTGATGTTCAAAGATATTGTCGATATATTATTGTTTGATCGAAGCGAGATTTTATGGCAAGTCAAAAACATTTCTATCATTGTCTCATAGCTTAGGGGAAAAGATATAGAATGAGACAAATTCATCTTTACCACAAAGCATAAAGTAATAAAAACATCCTACAATGTTCGAGAAATTCTCAAGGATAATATGTTTTTTTCCTTTTTGAATACAATTTTATTTCATACATTTAGAATATACTTATCTTGTAAATTATATAATACGTTATGGTCTTATATTTGGCTTAATGAAATACAATAATTTGCTGTCTTTAGAATTTGTTTGTTCTCTCTTTGCTGTGTCACGGCACTTGAGCCAGTAAGTATAATCGACCACTATTCCTAGAGATAAACGAAATTATCAATCCTGTAGAGTTTTCAAATTTTTATCCAAAGTTTCAGTAAAGAGATTACATTCTCGAGGAAAGTTCGTCGAAAGGCAAGACATTGAATTGACTTTCTTAATGTTAATATATATTTAATTTTACGTGTTTTAGTCTGTTACTCGCATACGTTGATTTTATAATAAAGCAAACAAGTAAGATGCGCCAAAAACGGAAAGATACATTATATTATTATTAATCGATTGTTTTCTAAAAAATATGTAATTTTTTTTTTTTTCGATTTATATCAAGAAACAACGATACGGCATCAAAGAAAGTGGTCTTGCAATTTAGTACAATCCAAAGTTATTCATACGACATTTAATAAATTATTATATTTCACTCATCAATTAAATAAAGAACGTGATTTCTCTTTTACAACTTTGGCCCATTCAATATAATTATACCAATCAGAATCTATACTATACAATATTATACGAACTATCCACTAACGATACACAGTCGGCTCTAGCTACATATATTTATATATGTATAGTGTGATTGGTATATATATGTATACATGTAATTCCTATGCGCAGGGGTGGCAAATGTATATTCTCATACACTCGCATAAACGCATTCGTGGAGGTTCGCACAAACACACACACACACACACACACACACACACACATCCGTCACATATATCAGGTGTATTACAATATATTTTATATATTCATATATGTGATATTCATATATTATTCTCTCTCTCTTTCTCTCTTTCTTTCTCTCTCTTTATACATATATGTCTCTCTCTATCTTATCGTACATTTTTTTAAGCAATAAATATCTTTAGATGCTTCTTTTTCATTCTATTTTTATATATACAATTTGAAATCTAACTGTATAATGCACAGTTTTCTTGTTCTATCAAATCCATCTTAATGGATAGCACTGTAGTGTGAATGAAATGACGTTGCATGTCGTTAATGAATATTGTTTTTCTCTGCACGCTATTTAAAAAAATATTGTGAAAATATATAATTTACTAATACAATGTGTCGTAATAATGAAACGGTTATTTATCGCCATTCTATGAAAGAGAAATTGTACGGCTGTTATACTACACATGTATATACATATTATGTATAAAGTACGCCACAAAATAAGCGTATATATTTTTAAAAATCTAATGATAAAAATAACATGTCATTTTTTATTAAAAGAATTATATAATAAATTATTAAATTTTTGCACACGCTAAAGCTATGCATTATACTTTGCAATAATTTGCATTGTAGTATAACAACAATACAATATAGAATGTGGTTTAAGAGTATTGCACCCTTATTCTTCTGATAAACTATATGATAAACTGTATCCAAAAATCTACATATAGGATACTCATAATATATATTCTATTTGTATAATAATTATAAATAATAATCTTCACTATAAAATAATAAAAAGTAAAATCTCTTTTTAAATGGAAACAACTTTATCTTGTATATGCATATGACTAGAAATCATAATTAAACCTATAAAAGGTAATGCCATTGTATGATTTATGATTTAAACTATACATACACTGTGTTATATAATAATTAATATATTTTATTAATATATTTTTTCACAATTTTTCAAGCGATTTAATTATTTAATTTGTTTAAACGTTTATATAATCTCTTTGGTATATTTTTTCAAAAAATAACAAATGTTAAAAAATTTTTCGTGAATATTATTTCGAAAGAATAATAACACATATATTTAACCATTTTTTAGAAAATATACGTCAAATTACATTTATGTCCGATTTTCTCCAAAGTCCAATTATAAAGCGACGGACTTTTTATTCAAATAAAAAACAATATATAAATAATTGACCATGTGTAAATTGAACTGACATGCATAGGAACGCATAGATATTTTTTATGCATAAAAGAGGATGATTTTGATGCGTGTGTATAATTCATATATTTGAGAGTGCCAATATTCTTTCGTATATCATTTATATCAACTTTTTTATCTCTCTTGTGTACACTTTCGTACAAAGAATACCTGCAGTATTGTGCTTATATCGATTTGTATTAACGCAATGTTAAAAATAATCCAATAGAAATACATTTACCTACAGAATTGTGATCGCATCACTCACTTCAACTTATGTCTTTTATAAAATTTGTGCTCTTAAGGAAGTGGAAATATATCATTAGAGAGAATATGGATGATGGAATCGATTGTTTGAATAGCGATATAATTTTCGCAATTAAAAGTCGGCTCCAAAATTCTTTCTAAAATTTCAAACGCCTCTTGTTAATATTTGGCTTTTAGTATTGTAAGAAACTTAAGCTTTTAGAAGGTATCCATATTATAATACATCCTAAATGGCGCGTATTATATAAACTTTTCATATAGGAGCCTTTTATATATCTTGGAAATCATATCTTGAAATTTAATTCCACAATTATTTCTACACAAGAATCATGATTTATAATCATTTGTATTTGTCACTCTGCTAAAACCATTAGCTAGTGTGATTTTTACCTATGGTTTATTTTTGTCTACGATTTTGTTTAAATATCCTATAATTAATAATAAGTGTTACATAGATACGGTATTGTCTATTATAAAGTTCTATGCCTTTGGATAAAAGGTCAGAGTACACATTGCAATAATATACCTTTTCGTTAAATCGTAATACAGTCCTTAAATAGTATTTATATATACTGTATGCGATAGAAAAGTCAAACGTATTCTCTGTTTGAAAGAAAAATAACTGTGTAGTTGTATTAGAAAGAGATACTTTCCAAATTGGCATTCTTTTTGAGGATGGTTAGCATGATAAAATAATGGATGTGTATTTGAATTTGTAACATCGTATCATATAAACGAAAAAAAGTTCATTCACATTATCAAGAAAATAATCACAGCAATCTTAACTTTTTCCGTTATGTTAAATAAATTATAATTTAGTTATAATCAAACACATTATTCAATTTTAACATACAATGTTAAATCTTCTATTAATAACTTAATGCAATGATTAGGGTAACAATACCAATATAATAACAAAATCGAATTAATATCTATGAGACCATTAATCATTTTGGCTAAACTATAATATAGAAAAATAAAATCACAGATTATATATTTAATTTTATAAATAATGATACTATTAATGGTAATTAGAAACATCTTATGAATTGATTAGAAATAATATCAATTTTGCTCGTTACCATTTCCTGGCATAATGCACTATTTATGCAAAGTACAATATGCAGGACGTATGACACGTATAAAAATTTGAATTGGGAAAATTTGGAAAGTACATCTTATGTACCCTTTAATTTTACCCCTTTAATGGAACCTAACACATGTATTATAATTTCAGTATAGTTTGATTAAAAATTATATGTAAATTTTACAAACTTGTCGATAATAAAAGGAAAATTTAAAGATGTATGTTAATTATATAATATTTTAATGCATTAGAAAAATTTGTTTCTTATAAATTCAGTTAGTTTATGCATAACTTGGAACACAACCGACAGAAGTGATAAGCAAATGATTCATATTTTGTTGTTATTTCTCGTAGAGTTATCTTAATAATAGAAATGTCACCGAAATAAAAATGCAACAACCTTTGCTTATGCACATGTAAACGAAATTACGATTATGTTAACTCACCTATTAAAAGAAATGCAATAAATTGCGCGTAGTTCAGTTGCATACAGGATAGAACGCACATACATACACACACACTTTTATGTTGTTCGTGTACAGAAATATTCAACTAAAAGTAGGTACACACAAGTATTTACAACCTGCTCAGAATTTTCCGTATAATTTAATAATTTATATAAGATAAGACTTCTGTGTATGCTGTGCTATCATATTAAGTATTACTCTCAGTAGAATTA